CTTCTCAAGTTCCAATGAAATCCCAATAACAATACAATATAATTCCGTCTCACAAAAGGGTAACGTGTATGCTTGTGAAGGTAAAGATTGTTTCCAATAGAATCACAACGACAACACTAATGCTGCAATATAATCTCATTCTACAAGCGGGGTCTAAGAAGGAAAAGATAACGCGAACTCTTATAAAGATAGAGAGAAATTATTTCCGATAGAATCACAATGACACAAAATTATAATAACTTCCTTAATCATCATATTCCAACTTCATTATTTTTGAATTTTTTTCTTTACAAATGACAACATTATTTTACTTCCTCAAAAAATAAAATAAAAAAATCAAAAGGAATTCATTTCAAGAGAGTAACTCCTTTCCAACTTAACCAATTCTCTAGCAACTTCATCAAACACCTTCTCCTCTTTCCCATCTCCGGCGAAACCAAACCCTTTCGCCACCAAATCTCCACCATCATCCGCCTTGCTCCACTCCTCCACCGGTTTTACCACCACCAACGTCGCCCCCTTCATCACACATCCTCCCTCCGGCAACTCCAGCTCCGGCGAATACCACATTTTCACCTTCAACGCCGGCATTTTCGACGAAAAAACCTCTGCATCTCTCCTCATTTCCTCTACTTGTTCACCATTCATACAAACTTTACCTTGACCAATATCGTCCATAATCACTACTTTATTCAGCAATTTCTTCTCCTTAATCACTTCTTCTAACAAACAATGCCGCGCTGATGCTGCTATTAACGACGAAATTATCCATACAATTCGCAATTTCAAATCCTCATTCGCCATCCGTTGCAACTCTAGTTCCCTAATTGGAGCATCGCCATTGTCAATTCGATCGTTATTACAAATTGGGGAAAGTGATATTCCACCAACAATCAAGCAATTTTTCAATTGACTACCAAATTCACCTTTCCATTTCAGTAACGAATCTGAATCACCACCACCGCCATCACTGGGAACTCGAATTTCGAGTTCCTTGATTTCGGTGAAATTTCTCAGTATTTCAGCCGGAGAAGAAGAAGCATAAGAACAAGTACAACAACTATAACTATCACTCTTTTTCTGTGTATTATCACAGGGCATACAAATCGGGTTCCATTGACTGATTTGTCGATAAACAAACTGAAAAGGTTTGAGAAAAAATCGAATAAATTTGTTTCTACTGGAAAAAGGCAATGATTTGTGGTATTTTTGTGAGGGGATTGCGAGTGAAATGTGGTGTGTTTGGGTTGTGAGTAAGCGGAAACGCTTGCAGAGAGATGAAGAAATTGAAAGAGATTTCGCATCTTGAAGTTTATCGAAGATTGTTAAGAGGATAGCATCTGGTAAGCGATCAAACAAATCTTCTTCATTTTCTTCATGAATTAACATTGTTGTTGATATCATCTTCCTTCTCATATTCTTTGCTTTGCTGCTGTGGTTTTTATTATTTATTGAGGTTTTTGGGAGGATTTTCTAGAAAAAGTAGTACAATGTACACGTTTTTGGTGGGCGTGGCAGCTATTTTTTGACTAGAAAGGGCTGCGGAAGACTGAGTATATAGAGGGTCGTGTTGTGTTGACAGGTGTAGTATTTATATGTCGAAGTGCGTGGCAAACTTATCTTTTTTTCAAAGGCCAAATTCATCGATGTCCCCTAAATTTGACATCAATATTCACTTACACATCTCAAATAGGCGATATTTATTTTAGACACATTATGTAGGATTTTATTGTGTTATTTTGATACTTTTTGCTGACATTTCAAAGTGAGTGTGATACACTCGACAATAGCACGTGACAGGTTTAATTTAGCCATTTTTTATTTTATTTTCTCTTCTCTATTTTTCAAGCCACCACCCCCAACCTTTTTTCAAGCTTAAACTCCTTCAATGGAGGTCCATTTTTTTTATTCAAATTTGTTTTTAAGTCATTTTTATTCTCTTCATTATATTACTTTTCTAAACCTACCATCACCCGGAAAAATAAATACCAACACCCATATTTCATATTTATTCTCTCTTTCTTTCTTCCTCTCCCTCTTTTCTTCCCAAAATACAATACTAAAAAGAAAGAAGAAGAATAAATATGAAAAATAGTAAAAGAAAAGAATAATTTTTTAAAAAAAAGTACAAAAGAGATTTTAAGTGTAATGAAAAAAAGATTTTTTTTAGTTATTAAATAGATTTTAAACTGAAAATAACACATATAATCATTTAATTGATTGTTTGCCACGTCATCAACGATGTATTACACTCTCCTTCAGTTTTTTATTTATTGTCAGAAAAGTGTCAAAATATTATAACGGGACCCTACATGAGATGTTTAAAATGAATATTGCTTAGTTGAGGTGTCTAAGTGAAATTTGTTGCCAACTTTAGGAGGCCACCGATAAATTTGACCTTATTCAAAATATGGATGTTTGATGGTTGACTTATATTATTATCGAAAAGGGTAAAAAATATCTTTAAATTATATAAAATGAATAAGATTTTTTTTATGAGCATTTTGACCTTTTTCCGTATTTATTATTGAGAAAACACTAAAATCACTCATTTTTAATAGATATTAATTAATATCATTCATACAATGCATAGTCCAAGGAAATCCATCCAAAATCTCTAGTGAACTATATGATTTGATCATTCATTCCTAAGATTAATGCTTTAAAACAATAAAAAATTAGCTTAAGGAATACTAAAAAAGATTGGAATAAATAATCTATGAATTCAGAAAAGCTTCCTCCTTCATTCTATTCTCACTCAAAGCATTTTTTTTCTTTCAAAATGTCAGATCACATAATTTTTTTAAAAAGCCATGATGAAAAATTATTAAAAATGGAGATATATATGAAAAGTTTCTAGACAACGACATTATAACCAATCTATATTATAAAATGAAATGAAAGGCAAACTTAACTAATAAAAAAAAATAAAAAAGATATTTTTAATTATTTTTCTTGATAAAATAATTTTTATCATGCCAAACACACCCTATATTTAATTGAGCAACTTTCACATATAGCAAACACAAAATTCATATTTGTATACTATAACAAAGTTTGCATAATTGCGCTCCATAGCAAACATAAATATGTATATTTCGCTATACATATACAAAAGAAAGCAGTTGTATAATCTGCTTTGAAATACATATACAAAAAGATCAATTGTATAAAGTGAGAGAGGCGAGTGAGTGAGCGAGATTTGGGAGAGTGGCGAGCGAGATCTGGGAGAGGGGAGAGAGGGGAACGAAAATATATGTATATATACAATTTTCACGCATTTTATACATTTGCGTTTTTGTATAAAGTGAGAGAGGCGAGTGAGAGAGCGAGATCTGGGAGAGTGGCGAGCGAGATCTAGGAGAGGGGAGAGAGGGGAACGAAAATATATATATATATACAGTTTTCTCTTGCTTTATACAAACACAAACACATTTTATACAATTTGCGTTTTTTGTATAAAGTGAGAGAGGCGAGTGAGAGAGCGAGATCTGGGAGAGTGGCAAGCGAGATCTGGGAGAGGGGAACGAAAATATATGTATATATACAATTTTCTCTCACTTTATACAAACATAAACACACTTTATACACTTGCGTTTGTATGAAAAACGAGAGAGGCGAGGGAGAGAACGAGAGTGGCGAGCGAGATTCACCAGGAGAAAGGTGAAATAGCAACAGTTTGTTATGAGGTACAATTAAATCAAACTATATTTATAGCATTTAATTTGAATTAATAATTTGCTATTATATACAATTTTCCCAATTTAATTCCCTTTACACCTTTTATATTTTTTAAGGGGTAGATGTAGAATAAATTCGGACCCATACTCTAAATCTTGCTACAGTTTGTGCAAAATAGATCTTGTTCCCTGTACTTTTTAAAAAAAGTTTAAAAAATAAACTATTTATTTTTTGTAATCTTCTTCCCTCTTACATTCCCCAAAAATGAGGACAAAGAGATCTAGGATAATTAAATAAAAGTAAAAAATTTTGAAAGAAATTAAAAGAGGAGAATCCAAGGAAATAAATAGGGGTAGAGTATGGACCACAAAAGGTGAATATTGGAGGATGAAAATAAATATTATTTGACATAATTTTTGTAAAAATTAAAATTGTTCGACACAAATTATGTAGTATCTAATTCGTTTAACATAAGTTTGCATTATCTAACATAAGTTCTGTAGAAATTAAGTTATGCTTTTTATAACATAACTTACGAATTTTGAAACTAAACTTTGTCTCTCCAAACATAAATTCTATAGGAACTGAATTATCCCTTCAACAAAACTTGTGATGATGAATTAAACTTATACCTTGTAAATGAAATAACTTATGTTATGTTATAATATGAAAATATAAATTTATTACGAATAGAAATGATTCGTTATTACAATATTGTGACTTTTTCAGCCACCATTTATTACTACTTGAAATGTTAAAAGGAAAAATAATAATTAAAAACCACCCAAAACAAGAACTTTTATGAAAATGATCATGAATTTAAATTAGTTAGACTTTAATATTGATATAAAATAAAATATATTATTATTTTTATCTTTATTTAATACCATTATTTTCATTTTATTTTTATTGAATCTCACTTAATTTATTATAAAGAAAAATTAACTAAACATAGTCACTACAAGTCATTTGGTAAACCTAACAAAATTTTACTTATTTCTTAAATTTTGATGCTCGGTTAAATGATGTCACGTAAATTAAGACGGAGATAATAGCACCAAAACGAACATAATCTGCCGTTTGGTGACGTGCTTGCACAATTACCGTCCCTTTGCTCAAAGCAAAATCCACCACTTGCCCAAACAGGTACAATCTACTTTTTTTTTTTGCTACTGTTTATACTAGCATTTTTTTTTAAATTCAATACTTTATAGTAAATCAAGAAGAGAAAAATCATTGAAAACTAAGCAGCAAATTCTTCAGTAAAAAAAAAATAAACAAGAAAAAATGGAGCTTTGAATTGAAACACTTCAAGATTGTAACTTTTTGATTCAATGGAGTGTTTTTCTTCACCAGGCTGGTTTTCCATATCTACACCTTCTTTTCTTGGACTGAAAAGTAAGAATAAACTTAGTTTGAATAGAAAATGTAGAAGCTTTAACAAAGATGGAAGTAGGTGTATGAGTATGAGCCAGAGAGCAGATGAAAGCTCTGGTTTTTCTTACAAGAAGTTGATTCATTTTGCTTTAGAAGAAACCAACACACGTACCCTTTTGGCCCCTTCTCCATTGCAGGTACCTAATTTTTTGGGTTTTCATTGTTTTCCACAATCTTTCATTATGTTTGTACTGAGCATGTGATTTAGTTTCTGTGTGAGTGTGTGTGTTTCTTTTGCTGTGTTAAGTGTGAAACTTTTTCTGTTTCTGCAATTCTTGAAGGAACAAAGTCTGAGTTAAAAAGATTAGTTTCTTTAGGTTGGGACTAAAATTCAGCCACCCTTATTACATGTATGAAATTGATTTTGCAAATTCTTGAAGAAGGAACAAAATCTGAGTTAAAAAGTTTAGCTTTTTTAGGTTGGGATAAAAAAATCAGCCACCCTCATTGCAACAACAACATCATATCCATATCCAGTGTAAACTCACTACTTGGGTTTGGGAGGGTGAGGGTAGAGTGTACGCAGACCTTACCCCTATCTCGTGGTGGTAGAAAGGCTGTTTCCGAAATCCCCTCGTCTCAAGTGCAGCTAATCAAAATATTTACGAAAAAGGGTATACGACAATAAAGAAAATAGGTAGTGATTACTCTCCTTGGGATTGTCGTTCCATATGTGGTGAAGCTCATTGAGTATTTTGGAATATGGTGAATTTAATGTACCATTCAGAGGTTTTCAGGATTTTGTGGTTTAGAAGTGGAAATGGGCTGGTAATAGTGAGGACTCCAGAGGATTTTACCTAACAATTTATTGAGATCGATGAAATACTACCCCAGCTGATTTTATACTTCATTTTTTAGTTTTTTACTACTTGCTGTACTAAAGTTTCCACCTCTAGAAGCAAGGTTAATTGGGACGATAAATTGGGACAATTGTGGCTGTATTGTTGAAGCAAACAGCTAGTTTGAAACAGGAATTCTCTGGGAAGAGAGGTATATTAATCTTTATTACATCAAAAGTGTTGAATAACTTGAATTCTTAAGAAAAATTTAGTTCGCTTTTGGTAAAGAATGTAAAACCTTGTGGAGATTTTTCTCATTTAGTCCAACCTAAAAGCTTATGACAATGTTTAGTTCGATGAAAACAAGAAGGATTAAGAAAATTAAATAAAAGATGAGGTAAACTAAGTAGTTGAACTGGGAAGGGAATCAAGGGGTTCTGGGAGGGGGAATATCAAGTGAGCTCAAACAATGAAGGGTGTTGGCAGGTAAAATATGTAATCTTTATCTTTTAGAGAACGGAGCAAAATAAGGTGTGCAATATTCATTCATTTAGGTGATTCAGTAAGTTGCAAATAAGTTAATGATGGTATAGCAAGTGCATAAAGCGTAAATGAACCAAAAGAAAAAAACAGTTGAGGTTGGTATTTGTATAGCAAATAATAAGTTGTGCTTCTTGAACAGGACTACAAATTTATGTTGTATACTAGTGGTAATACAATGGGATTTTGTTATTTTTTTCTCTTTGTGATTGCTCATTTTACTAGTCTTGTTCTTCTCTTTGAAACATTCCTAGCTATATCTGAGGGTAAATGTGCATTTCAACTCTAAACCAGCTACATGTAAATGTTATTGTTTTCAATTTCTCCTTGCTTTGAAATGCATGATTTTGCGTGCCATGCTTTCTGCTTATTTATTTTTTCACGGTTTAAGGCTGTAAAGATGATAAGTTTCATGATATCTCTAGGTCATTAAGTTGCCTTTGACATTTTCCTTTTCAATTTAACTCTTTACAAGGGTTTAAGTTGTGGATTTGCTATTGTTAAGCTTTTCTACAGAGCTACCCTCACCCCCCCTAAAAAGGTTTTCTACGGAACTAATGCTGGCCAACTGTGGTTACCCTTTTCCCTCTCTACAGGAGAAATACAGTTCTTTATTGGCCATGGATGACAAAACGGAACTACAAATGCTTTCTTTTGAAGCCCCTAAAATTCGACTCCTTCGGAGTCTATGTATTGAAGGGAGTGACGGCATGCAGGTCCAATTATATTCAATTTCATGTTATAGCCAGTCTTTGGTTTCAGAAGAAAAAAAATTTATAGTACAATTATGACTATTTTCTTAAATTTAATATAGGAATCTAATTTCTAGCCAATTCAAATTCAAGTTTGAGGGAGATATCTCCATCCCTCAGATTGCTAGGATTCTTCTGTCTCTAGTCTGAAATGTCGAGGCTCTTTTTGCCTCTCTTGCCTTTGATAAAACAGACATGAGCCGGAGGGGGGCATAAGTTGGGCGTTTCTTGATTTTTCAAGATGTTTATGTAATTTAGTCGACTATCAATATCTATAGCAGACAGTAAATTAAATCATATACTCTTTTAAAAAAGATTTTGTGAAATAGAGAAACAGTCTTAAGAAACCTGAGTAAGACGCCGCCAAATACCTAAGTGAACTTAGTACTGGACTTCTTAGTGAGAGCAGAGAACCATCTTCTACCTATTGGGATAATGGTATGTTTTCTGCCTTTAAGAAATTGACTCTTCCCTTATGGTGTCGACCATTAAGAAATAAGGACACATTTTGAAACAATCACAGAAGTATAATGAAGGGAATAATCAAATGTGGTATCAAGGGAGTGCCTTGAGAGAAAAGATAGAGGTATGTAAAACTGCTAAACATCATTTGCAGTGCAATCTGGTAAAAGAGAGAATAGTTGGGCTGTAAAATCACACGTGAACCAAAAATACCCTCTAAGGAAGAGCTTCATTTATCTGTTAATATAATATGTGCTAGACATGTCATCTTTCATGTGGCCTAGGTAAAGAATTATTCTTTAGCAGCTTCAAAATTTTGATCGGGAAACTCTTTTTGTCTGGTTCCCTTTCTACTGATTCCCCAAGTCAAAGCGCGATGAGAATTGTGCAAGGAATGCTGAGTTTCATTGTTGTATATGCAGATATATTAGTTCTAATATCATAAACGAGTCTGCCAGTTCTCCTTGAACTAAATGAAGGGCATTTCATGCAGGTATTGGATTTTGCTGCATTCCCAAAACCGGAATTTGATCTGCCTATCTTCTGTGCCAACTTTTTCACTACTGCTAAGATGAACATAATTGTACTGTAAGCTATTGTTTTACTCATTTCATACTTTTCCTGATTCCATAATGACCATTTTATCCAACAAAGAGTTCAGTTCATAAACATTCGGGAGAGTGATTTATGCAATCAGAATCCCTTGTCTTACATCCTATTGGGGTAAATGGAGAAGTATCAGGCTATGTTTCCCTGCTTTCATCATGTGGGGACAGACACATCTTTGTCCTACATCTCGACAACTATTTTTCCCTATCGCTTCATCTTGCCTATGTATTCACGTATACATTTTTTCACTACTACCATCCTATAAGTTTTATGTAAGAAATAATGTGGTATCTTGACATGATCTTTAAGACTGCTATAGATTATATGGCTTTCTTTTTTGATAAGTTAGATGATGTAGTTTTCATTTTTCTATCTTCTATGCTGAGCATTTGCACGTGAACTCAGATGTGTTTGCTAAACTATGATTAACTGACTTTATATTTCTGAGCAAGAATGAGGTAATAACACATATTCTGGAACACCTAAAAGCGAAGAAACGAAAGGAAAATAGTTCTTTTTCACCTTGTAGAAATATTCTTATAAAAACAATGCTTAGAGGTTAAATTGGCTAATTCCGTGTTTTGTTGAATTGGAATTGTTGTTGTGTCAGAGATTAACCGAAACCGAATCCTTATAAAACATATGCAGGGACCTCAACCCATTGCATGACATCATGGATCAAGAAGATTACAAGGAGAAGTACTATAAAGACTTGATTCCTCTAGGCCTCAAGTATTCTGAGGTTATAATAATCTTCTGACATTTACACAAATCCTCAGCGTAACAATGTTTCAAGCACTTTTCAGAATCTCCTCTAAAATGATTGTATGGTGACTTAACACAGATTTCATGCAGCTTTTACCCTGGGGAGGGAAGCTCACCAGCGAGTCTCTGAGATTTTTTTCACCAATAGTCATATGGACAAGATTCTCATCTAGTCCACACAACCATTCAGTTTTATTTTCTGCATTCAAGGAATATTACCAGGTACTAAGTAACTATTTCCCATTGTGCCCACTTTTATGTTGTTACAACTTATTAGTAGACAACGATCGTGCAGGCCTACCTTAGTGTGGAGTTCTCAATATAGGTACTGAAGATATAATTGAGTAAATAAAGAGTACTCTCTCTAACTGTTCAGTCTTTTAAATGAGATACTTACATAACTTAACGTTGTATAGGGGCAGGAAAAAAAATCTTGTGTTCAAGTCTCATTGCCACCCATTATCAAAAAGAATTTCCGCGTGCTTGACCTATGAAAATGATTTAGGCATGCATGTGAGAGGGTGTGAAGTATAATTAAGTAAATAGAAGTACATCATCGCCGTCCTTCTAGGGTTCCTGCTTAATTGAGTCTGTCATCTATTTCATAGTAATCACGAAAAACAAGCACAAGCAGCCACCACTGGTTCTTCACTTTCTGGTGGGATGGAGGGCTTTTGTGCATTGTAGCGCAGGCAACATTTAGTTTAGACCCAGGTCAAATGCCTTATGCTATAGGTTGTGTTAAGCATGCTTCTTTGACAGAGAACAAACTCTTTTTCCATGACAATAATCACAATTATAAAGGGTGGGGGCACGGGGCAGTAAGCTCTCTATCAACAAGAGGGAGCTATTCATAGTAAAAAAACTACTCGACTATATGATAATAGTTTATGTTTTTTGATGAGGTGGTCAGACAATTTAGCAATATGCTTTTGGATGGGTAGGTATAAAAGTGAAAGGGGAAGAGCAGCAACAACAACACCACCACCACCACCAACAACATACCTAGTGCAATCCCACAAGTGGGATCTAGGGAGTGTAGGATGTACACATACCTTACCCTACCTTTGTGAGGTAGAGGGTTGTTTCCGATAGATCCTCGGCTCAAAAGAAAAGAAGAATTCGAAGCACGATTATAAAAAATTAAGACAACAAAAAAAAAAACAACATACAAAGCAAATGGAGCAACAACTAGTAATAAACACCGAAGAACAAAGAAACTATGTGATTCCTAAATAATATTACTAACAAGGAGAAACGGAGAGGAGGATAGCCCCTGCCTCTCCCACATGAAGTGCGATAATACTCGGCTACCTACTAACCTTCTAGCCTAATCCTCGACTTCCATACCTTCCGATTTAGGGTCATGTCCTCAGTAAGCTAAAACTGAAAGAGGAAGAGCAGAATTAAATTTGTCTCTTGTATATCTTAGTCTTGCCCGCTATATTTTTGTAAATAGCTTCTTTCTTTTTTGGCATAATACATAAATATGTCCTTTAACTTGGTTCAACCCCTCCAACTTTGGATGTGCACAAGTAGACACTTAAACTTATATAAAATTAAACAAATAGACACACATGTAGGACGATTGTATCTGTTTATTCAATTTTATATAAGTTTCAGTGCCTACTTGAGCACACCCAAAGTAAAAGGTCATAGTTGCCGGTTGAAGCCAAGTTAAGGGTCATGTTTATGTATTATGTCTTCTTTTTTTATGTTACCATTCTTAAAAAAATAGCTTCATTTGTCAAAAGTTCTCATGGCTTGAGAAATCCAGCTTTGTCTACCAGGATTACTGCTTAACTGTTTCTGTTACAGGCATGGCTTGAGCTAATGGATAGATCAGACGAGGAAACTGATGCTTTCCAAATCGCTCTCAATTGTGAAGCTCAGCATAAATATTTGACATGGAGATCCGAAAAAGTGGGTACAGTTGTTCTTTCATGGGTTCTCTTACATCGTCTTAAGAAATAATTAATTTTAACCTCTACCTCGCCTTTTCTCCGTCTTTGCTTCTCTGTCCTTTTCCCCCTTTGTTGCTCAGACACTCCAAAAAATGTTGCGGCACCCGCGTCGGATTCTCTCCATAAATGCACCACCTTTGGAGTATCCGACACACACCCGTTGACAATTTTGAAGAGTCCGAGCAGCAACTTTTTCCCACTTTGTTATTGTTCTTCTTGATCTCTCTGATGATCCAAAATGCCCTTTTACTAGGATCCAGGACATGGAGTTCTGAAAAGACTGATAGGGGAAGATCTTGCCAAGGTATCATTCTTTCATCCAAAAACCTGTACTATGTCTTGTTGTTGGAAGCTTTAATAATTCATTTTTTCCCTTTTTTTAATTACTCAGAATGTGATTAGGGAATTCCTATTCAATGGTGTTAGTGATCTTGGGAGCAAAACATTTCTTGATTACTTTCCTGAGTACAGATGTGAAGATGGTAAAGTAAATGAAAAGCGCAGTATGATCGGAAAATCATTCGAAAATCGACCATGGAATGCGAGAGGAGAATTCATAGGTGATAGAGTTAAGATAGTCTGATGTAATATTTACAAATTTTTATTTTCTTTACATCGTATCTGTCAATTAGCCGATCCCAACTTGTATGGGATTTAGTAGTAGTAGCAGCAGCAACTGTTGTTGTAGTTGTCGTTGTTGTAGTAGTAGTAGTCGTCTCTGTCAATGTCAATCTTGACAGTTTGATGCAGGAGGAGAATTCATAGGTGATAGTGTTTGATAAATAACAACGACTACATAACCAGTGTAATCCCACAAGTGGGGTCTGGGGAGAGTGTTGTGTACGCAGAGTTGCAGACCTTACCCTACCTTGTGAAGGTAGAGAGTGTTTCCAATACCCAATGTAATCTGTTGTAACTTTCACATGTTCTCTTTATTCTTCTTTATTCAATCTCTGTCAATGTATATAGTTCATCACATCCCCAAATTACTTTTTTCATTTCCCATTTTTATTATCACTGTTGGTATTGATCGGGGCAATTACCATGTAATTAATCGAGAAAGTTTAATATAACTTTTTCCGATCCCATATTATACCAGTATCTCTTTTGGTTCTTTAGATGGCAATAAGCTTGGTACTGCATATGTCCACTTCTTTCGACAAATTAAAAAAAAATGTCATCAGAATGAGAAATCTGATGTAAAAAGGGTAGTTCGATGCATTAAGCTCGCTATAGGCAGGGTTCAGCGAAGGGTCGGATCATAAGGTTCTATTGTACACAAACTTACCATGTATTTTCACAAGAGGTTGTTTCCACAGGCCGAGTTCCTTCAGGTCACATGGAGGCAACTTTACAAGTTACACCAAGGCTCCTCCATTGTATACAAACTTACCCTACATTTCTTCAAGAGGTTGTTTCTGCAACTTAAACTCGTGACTTCACATGACAACAACTTTTAATGCCAATGCTCCTTATTGAACTCATAATTTAGTGTTTTTCCTTACCTTAATTGAATTGTCTTGCTCTTTAACTTGGGTTCTTACTTTAATGAGCCATACTTTGTTTTCTCTTGGATGAATCATCTCTTGTTGGGTGAGACTGATAGAAAGAAACGCGGGGACAGCTATGCATAGTACTTCTTGGCCCTGTCTCCGAGCAATGTTTGAGCTAACGACTCATGAATGTTGACAGGTTAGACGAACAGGTAGAGGGGTTGAGAAATGAGTAAATTGGGACTTGCATATCTTCATGCCAAGCCACAAGTTGAGAAAACTTGTGATCAGACAAGTCATCTGAAGTAGTCCAAATGTTACAAAAGAGGTAAAAATGCAGAGACAACTCGTGTTTTTTGTGCATACATACAACACATTTATCTGAGAGATTTTATAAACTTTCACAAAAATATTTATACAGAACTTACAAAATACATACATTGTTGTATACTTTTTACATGATCGAACCAGATAGCAGCAACAAGGATCATCGATCTTTAGTCTGTAGGTTCATTCTTACTGTACTCTATCTACTACTTACAAATACTCTCACCTGTTGAAAATAAGATCACCATTGAGTTCAGGCAGTGGTTTTAACATCAGAAAACTCTACGTTTGCATAAAGATTTCACGTTACAGAAAATACACATTAAGATAATTCAACTATGTTCAGATGCAGTATGACATGGGACTTGTCATTCTTTCTGCCACCAAGTATTCTAGCTGGAGAATTGCAGCTTGCTAAGGGTACCTTAATTTCAACCCTTTCGATGGAAGAAAGACACATACAGATAATTCAACTATGTTCTCTCACACAAATCCGATTATAATCTGTGAGATAGTTCAACGGATTTACTTGACTACTACAAAGTTACCACCAACGGATGTGGTGAGATGGTTGGGATCCTTTCACTTGGATTCAAACTCAGAGAATGAAGTACCTCTTTGGTAAGGAACACTTTATCCCCTTAATGGTCTTGCATAACGAATGTGAATCCAAATTAGTCAGGTTAGAGGTTTTAGATACAACCTAAAGTTGAAAAAAAACACTACAATGAAGTTCATCTCTTCGTTTCTAGGTAGTTAATGTAACACTTCCCTGATGAGGACTTCACCCTTCATTTTTAAAGCTTGGGGAGGTATCGGAAACTTTTAGTATCTTTAATGTGTACAAGCAAAGTTTAACATACAAAAAGAACAGAGGTTACTGCAATTTGCAGTCTCTTAATATATGACTAAGCATGTCTAGCCTACAAGTCGTAAAATTATACACTTTTTGATTCATCCTCTAAAAATGTTGTAAATATTTAACAGTGTTTCAATTCTTAAATCAAATGATCACTGCTATTCTTTCATGCTTAGATAAAGTCAGTTTGGTACTATTACTCATTTCACGTACAGGGCCAGACGAGCAACAATACCTAAGAAAAATTCAAATTATCTACTATTGATCATGTAACTATCAAAACTAGAAATCTAGAACATCATAAAAACTGAGGTGATCTGAAATTCATCAGAAATTGCTAGAAAAAAATGCTTATATACTAACAAAGAGTGGAAGGGCGAAGAAATATACGGGCTTTCTCTACATTACTGACAGCATATAGGTGAGTATCTATATTGACATACTAACTCATCAAACAAATTGTTGCATATAGAATTGTTTTAGTGACTTACAGTTCAGTGTATGTGTATAGATAAATCGAAAGCTTCCTCTGATAAACTGTATAAGAAAATATAGTTGAACTGCAGTTAACTGCTGTGAGAAGCTTTAAATAGCTCCTGCCACTTCAGTGTATCTGTTCCTGGTCCATCACCCTGCATTATTTCATGGTTCAGTGGAAAGAAGTAATGATCTGAAAATTTGCTGTCCAGGGAACATCTTGAATGAGTGCCGATTACATTCAAACACAAAAACTAAAGTATTACCATTTGATTTTGGATTATGCTATTTTGATTGTTATGTATATATAAGTTTTTTTTTTATGTACATATATAGATTTTGAATCCCCTAAACGCCAAGACCAGAGGTTTGCTCAGTGATTTAGGAGTTCAAAATTCATCTTAAGGAAGCTCAAATATCATTATATTTTTATTTTTCAAACCCCTCGGTGAAAATCTTGAATCCGCCACTGGCTAGAATTCCTCCCCATTCCCAGCTCTTCCCTGTTCAATTAACTAAAGTCTCATGTAGAACCTCTCTAAGTCCAGTAACCTGGCCATAACTTATTTACAACACAATGCATCTCTCAAAGAGATTACAGTCCACTTCATATATGTTCCTCGTCATTCCATTCAATTTCAGATTAATTCCATCTTGTTCATTAAAAATTCAAAGCTACTTGCAGATAATATCATATATTTATCAAAGAAGGCTGTAAGTGAGAAATATATGTACTAGATTAAGATAATTACCGGAATAGAGTTTACTTCATAAGTTTGTCCTTCTGTGAATTCTATGTCCAATGCCTGTATGCAAGCTTCTGCAACAACAAGCCTACTAACTTCTCCAACTAGTTTATCCCCTAAAAGTATGCAAAACCAAATAAATATAGTAAGAAAACAAAAAGAAAATGTCTCGCGATGTAGGAAATAGTCAAGATTGCTTTAACATAGATTACACAAAACTATCCTCACATAGAATGAATCTTAAGGTTCCAAATGCTTGGAAGACCCTATAGGTGTAATAAGAAGATTGACTAAAGAAAGCTCTGATTATCATGAAAAATGATAACAAAGAGAGTCATTAGCGAACTTGTTTAAATATGGGATCCTAATGAGACACTTAATAATAATAATTCCCTCAGCTCATTACACATTACTTACATGAAAACTAAACGATTAGATACCTTGACCTATCAAAACTGCACGCCGTTCGCCAGCTGTAGCTTGTAACAGTGTGTTCAAATCATATGATGTGTATGGTCCATCTGTTAATCTACCAGCTCTGTAATTTCAAAATGGTGAATAAGCCAGAAACATATCTTCTCGAAAATCAAGTAACACAAAAAAAAGAAGAGATATTTAACACTGACATGATCAGGTAGTTTCAGCTCTATTTCCAGGTAACAAGTTCTACTTATTATATACAACTACTTGTAGTTATCTTTCCTGATAGTGTAAACATTATTTTACACTGTCAGTGTATAGAAGGTAAGCTATTAACATGCAGCTAGTAAAACACATTAAAATAGTTCGAGTACCTGATTATGGTGAACGGAAGACCAGAATTGCGAACAAAATCCTCCCCCATCTTCTTATACTTTAGAACACCAAAAAGGTTCATGATGCTACAAAACAAAAGTTGGAAACAACATTATGAGAGTAAAAGAACAAAAGAACTACTTTATTCTTAAGGATGGAGAAAACTATGTATCTTTGGTCTCATTTTGCTTCTCAAGGAGCAAACATAGTCACTTTTGACGCCCATATTAGAGAAAGGATTAAATGTGTGAAACTGGTATAAGTTTCTGAAAGGTGTATGTCTAGCTTGACATCGATAAGTTCTCCCATTCTTCATCGTTCCTTCTCATGATGAAAACTCAGTTCATTACCTTCCCATTCTCTATGTGATGCACACATAAGCCAAGATATCTAAGCCCTAGAAGTCAGTGAATTTGAATTCCACAAAAAGTAGCATTCAAAAGATAATCTGGATTCTTAGTTAAAAAGAAGTTAACAGTGCCCAATCAACAAGAAATTTATACGGATTGGTAAATTATTTGAAGAACTCTAAATATAAGAGGCATATTACCTCCAAGGCAACTCATTGAACTTTGTGACGCCAATAGATGAAACAAGAACAATTCTTTTTAGTGACTTAGGCAATGCTGAAACAAGGTTTCTCACGCCATCCCAATCTACACAAACAAATGCATGTATGTCATTGAGAAAGACTACTGCACTAAAACTTAAAAACAGCAGTTCTTCATTTTATATATTCCTTAATGAAACATTGCGACGTAGTTATATAGACCACCACATAAATATAGACATCTCACTAGAAAGATTCTAACCTACTCTTTCTGGAGTGTTATCTCCATCCCACCGCCTAGACGGAAAAGCAGTGGTCCCAGTGCAGCAAATAACATGAGTTACACCCTGAAAGATCAGTTGTGCACAGCCCAGCAGCAATTTGAGAAACTTATAAGCCATTTTAACTTCCCAGGGAAGTCCTAGAAAGGTTCTAGATGTGATGAACAAACCTCAAATACAGATGGATCTATGCCTGTAGGACTCCGCGTGTCACCTTTCCATACCTATCAAGTTTGAGAAATCCTCTTTTAACAAAGAATATACCTTCCCGAGCTAATTGGACCCGGGGCATGGGGGTGGGGGTGGATGAGTTTGGCATAGCCATATAAGAATAAGACCCACCTGCAGTTTTTCCTCATCCTGCTCGCCAAATAGAGTAGTTGCTTTCTCAGGGTCTCGAAGAATGAGACGCAGTTTGACATTCCGATTGAGTAATGATGCTACAACTATCTGTCCTGCATCATTCATATAATACAAAAAAGTTAAGTGAATCTTAACCATGAATCATTCGTCAAGGATTCACGAAAAGCCAGAATAAAGAGGTTGATCATAGTCTAAAAGGATAATGGTTTTGCCCAAGTCATAAATAATTCATACAGATAATGGTCAAAAACAAGTGAGTTTCATATCTGAACTATCACCAACTATTTATAAAAACACTCTAGAAGCTGACTAGACCAAGTGTTTGAATACAATGCCAAAAGGCGCGGGACAACTTAATTTGCCAATAAAATTTCGTCCACATGGAAGTTAACTCATTAATTTCAAGACATGTCTCGATAAATAATTGGTGATGGTTCAAATAGGAAATGGGAAATGCATCCAGTAAAAAACTCGCAAAAAAGTGATCCTTCAGGTGTGTTTTTGTGTATTCCTCTCAAAATTTACCGCCAATTACAACAACTACTATTATTACGGAAGCAATTTCATTTCAATTTCAACACAACATTTTACATATGATAGATGTGAGTCATAATATGCTTTTTCTGATTGAAAATAAAAGATATTGAGAGGAACAATACCAACGCCACCGGATCCACCAACAACAAGAACTAATTTGGAAGACGATGCAGGAGATGAAGATGACGGAGGAGAAGTTTGGGATTCTTCAGTCACAGCAGCTGAAACTGATATAGATTTGTAAGAATTTGATTTGAGATTCGATGAGTTAAATCTAGAAGAAGACGGAAACTGCTGTAAAAGTGGAAATTGAGTTTTTTGAGTCGAAATTGGAAGGTTCCAGAAAGGGGAAACAGAGATTTTGGAAGCCATTGTTGATGAAGAAAAGAAGAAGATAAAGCGCGGGGAGTTGAAAGGGGGATTGAGAACTACTTGTGGTGGTAGTTATCTTTTGAAATTGTGGTTTTTACTATAATGCCCTTCAAATTGGAAATATCCTATTGGTTTAAGTACTAAACTTAGAAACTAGATTACAATTATGCCGGTATTAGTTATGAGGAAATATATGTAATATTATTTTATGCACGTAATAGTTATACATTATTTCATCTTTTAGTTTGCATAAAATAATACATAGATTTTCTTATAATTAATACATAGTTATGCAGATTATTTAAAATCAAATACTGTATTTATTTTATACACGAATAATTTACTTCTTAATCAACTATTCATCATGGTATTTCTTATGCAAGATTTAAATTTAATATCTACATACTTACTTTCAAACCAACTATCAAATGACCCCTTAGTGTGTGCTTGGTATGGAAACCAAAAAAATCTGGAAAATATTTTCTCATGTTTAGTTGGATAAAAATTTTGGAAAATATTTTCTCTTCGAAAACAATTTCTATAAAATGAGGGAAATGGATTTTTTTAGAAATAGGGAAAACAAGTTCTATAAGTGATATTTTATGTTAATTTGTATTCTCTCCATCCACCTTGCCACCCCCGAGGCCCAACTCTCTCACCCTTTTAATATTGGGGAACTTTCACGTATAGCCACTCAAAAATAGCCCAATTACTCTGCATAGCTATAGTTTGATAATTACAATTCGTAGCTACATGTTATAGGGAGGAGAAAGGCGAGCGAGACTGGGAGAGAGAGGAGAGAGGCGAGAGAAAGGGGGTAAAGAGTGGGAGAAAGGTGAATTGTATATGTATATAGGTTAGATAATTGTATATTATACATATGTATTTGTATATATGGCAAGCGAGATTGGGAGAGGGAGGAGAGAGGCGAGCGAGATTGGGAGAGGGAGGAGAGAGGCAAGCGAGATTGGGAGAGGGAGGAGAGAGGCGAGTGAGATTGGGAGAGGGAGGAGAGAGGCGAGTGAGATTGGGAGAGGAGGAGAGATGCGAGCGAGAGAGAGCAGAAAGTGGGAGAGAGGTGAGTTGTATATGTATATAGGTTAGATAAAATGAGGGAAATGGATTTTTTTAGAAATAGGGAAAACAAGTTCTATAAGTGATATTTTATGTTAATTTGTATTCTCTCCATCCACCCTGCCACCCCGAGGCCCAACTCTCTCACCCTTTTAATATTTTGCTAAATTACATATAAAAACTCTTAACATAACAAATTACATCCATGTCTTGATTCAATTTGGCCAATTTGGTGTTGAAATTACTATAGGTAACCCGTCCATAATTTTAACGGTTGAGTTCAAGATAATTTGAATTGAGTTCAATTTCAACGTATTCAAGCCTTAACCTATTTTAAGAGAATTTTCGATTGAGCCCCATTTAATTTCCAATTTAAGACTCTTTATTTGCATTGATGTAATGTATATTCCTATATTGAAGGTATGAATTACTATCTATTTTTATATCTATTAGGATTTATCTATCCATTTGTGACTTGTTAAAATTTTCTTGAGTTGAAATTCAAAGTGTGAATATAAACTTAAATAATAAAATATTAAAATTATTGAGATTAAGCGGATCAAATTGGACGAGTCAAGACCCAACCCATTTTAAAGCCCATTTGAACCCAACCCATTTGAGCCCAAAGTAAACTTGGGTAGGTCAGGATCCAACCCAATTTTTATTTCAATCCATTTTAATATGAGAAAATTATGCGAATACTAGTTAATTAGCTAACATAGCTATAGTTTGAATTAATTACGGCTCGCAGATTAATTTTAGTTGTAATTACGTCACTTATATATATATATATATATATATATATATATATATATATACACACACACATGCACACACACAATTATATGACAAAAATACAAATACAATTAGCTTCTCTCCACTCTCTGGCCTCTCTCGCTCATCTCTCTCCTCCCTCTCCCGATCTTTCTCACCAGATATACAAATACATATGTATATCAGTTAGATATATACAATTATCTGACAAATATACATATACAGTTCACCTCTCTCCACTCTCGGCCCTGATCTCTCGCTCGCTTCTCTCCTCCCTCTCTCAATCTTGCTCGCCTCTCTCCTCCCTCTTTCAATCTCACTTGCCAGATATACAAATACATATGTATATCAGTTACATATATACAATTATTTGACAGATATACATATACAATTCGACATATATATATATACACACAATTCACCTCTCTCCACTCTCTTCCCTTTCTCACTCGCCTCTCTCCTCCCTCTCCCAATCTCGCTCGTATCTCTCCTCCCTCTAACATGTAACTACGAATTGTAATTTACAAACTATAGCGCTATGAAACATAATTAAGTTATTTTTGAGTGGCTATATGCAAAAATTCCCCTTTTAATATCTCTAATTTCAACTCAACCCGTCCATTTGATACTCCTAATTAATACACTCGATTCAATATTATCTTAGTACATTCCATCATCTAGAAGAAGGAAATGTGGGTAGATGTTTTTTTTTTTTGTGACAAATCAAGATACGAAATCATATAAATTGATTTAACTATCTTATTCTCAAATTCTTACTCTTTTGTTTACTCAATTAGTCCATGACCTCTAATTGTTGTTTTATAGTACTTATTTTTCTAATGCACCAAACACGAGCATACACAAATTTCACCAAAATCAAATGGTATTTTTTTATGGGGTACTTCATTTGGATATCATACTTAATATTAATACGTACACAGTTTTTAAAAAAAAAATCCACATCTATTCTTTTCAGAATACTATTAAATATGCGGTGTTTGAAGTTTTATATTACTACATTTAGATAAAAATAGTGAAACTTCAGTCATATATGCAAGAATTTTAGATAAAAAGGCAAAAATAGTGAAACTTCATTCATATGAAATTTTGCAAGTCTATCCACTTCAGAACAACTTCAGATATGTAGTATAATATAATAAAACTTTAGTTATATGTGTAAGAACTTAAAAGCAAAAATGCTTGAAATGCAGACAAAAGGCCTTAGATACCTTAGACATAGCACATATCACACGATATGTTTCAAGCATAACATAATTAATATCGACATAAAGAAATTGTCCCTTTCATCAAGGGCAGAGCCAGATATGATTGAGGGATTCATTCAAATTTCTTTTGATGAAATATTACATTTTTTATACATAGTTAAATTTATTTTTTTGATAGATATATTAAATGTGAATCCCTTTGATTTCTTTGTATTTTACCTTTTCATATTTTAAAACCCCTATTAAAAATTTGTGATTCCGCCACTGCCTTTCGTCTTATTAAGGTAAAGCATAGACCAATGACCAAATCCTAACTTTCATTGTTCGAAATTTTTTTTCCTTTGTTAACGTCTTAAGCAGTCTATAAAGTGATTCTTTCAATTACCATCTAAGATTAATTAAGTATTTGAAATTATATTTAAAGAAATTGGACAAAAATACCCCTAGCTAAACCACTAGAATTCGAAAAATTGACAAGTGAAATCTAATGAGCGATTCACGAAGGTCAAAAATTTACTAGAGTTTTAAATACCATGAATCGTGCTCCTTGGTAAAAGTTTAAAACCAAGGAACGATTCATAAAGTTCAAATCTTTGTAATTTAAGTAAAAACATTTTTGTCCAAATTTTTTTTCCACAAAAAGTATGGAAAAGTGTCTCTTATAGATGTTCTCTGAGCAAGTTATTAACTAAGGAACTTTATCTTTATCATACTAATAAGAGATAGTGGTAAAAAAAACATATCGAACGAGTTTCATATCCTGACTATCAATTATTCCATTTTCCTACCTGAACTATCACCATCAATATATTAAAATACAAACAACGATTAGTTGTTCCCTTTTTCTACCTGAACCATCGTTCAAAAGAACAACTGATAATAGGGGTGTAGAACTCACAAAAAGATAGTTCAGATGTGTTTTCGACGATAAACTCTACTAATCATGAAAATGATTTGAGTAATTCTTTAGGTTACCTTATGGAACTAAAGTCATACACAAAATTATGAACTTTATATAAAAAAATGAAAAAAAGTCACCACCCTAACATCCTCAAGAAAGGGTAAATTAGAAAAGATTACAATCTCCATGAGAGTTGAGTTTTCACTTCACAAAAAGTACCCTCCTACAAAGTGCATTACAAAAGGAAAATAGGAAGATGAACCAAACGTGTTTTTCGGAGTTCAACTTCAAAGTAAAATCCCTTTGTTAATTGTAAACTTGTCTAACTTTTCACCTCCTACATCTCCAAGCTGACACTGAGAAAAGCGCGCGATCATGCCAGCAGATCACCACGCTACCGTTCTCCTCTTTAATCTTGTATCCTTCACAACTATAACTCTGCAACAATCTCCTTGCCTGCAACATAGCGTAATAACTCAAAGGCACGTTCGCGAAACCAGCTCCATCGAATCTTTGAAACCATTTATCCAACTTTTCGTGTCTCTCCTTCCGTTCACCTCCCTCACACGCTACAATGTTCTTAATCTCCTCGCCAAACAGCATTTTCTCGACCTTTAACCTCTCTAACGATGTTCTCTGTAGTGTGAATTCGAGACAATCAAACAATGCAGCATAAAAATACAACGACTCGGATAGCCTTTCCATAAGGGTTGTACCGTTATGATTCGAGTCTTGTTCTGTAACCACCATGACCTTTGGTGACAACCCCCACAATGCGTGGAGGAATCCGTCCATCTTCGTTGATGCAGTTGAAGATAGCGGAGATGAGGATGCTGATTCATTGCCTGGACTAAAAACATTAGTAGTCGTCTCTTTTTCGAGCAAATCCCCTAAAGTGTTTTGGTTTAGTATTGCCCTTTGCAAGTGAAGACCATTCAAATGCTTAAAACCCAAAGGGGATTTCTTTTGGGGTTCATCATCATGTGCAAGAAGAGTATGCAATTGCATAACTGAACTAATAGCTAACGCCTCTCCGGTTTTAACTCGTAGTTTTTCGATATCAAGATTCTCCAATTTACTAACTACTTGATGAAACTGAAAAGGGATATCAAGCTTTTCAGCTTCTTCTGTTAAAACATGTGCTATTTGTTCCAACACTTGCTTTTGTTGATGGACCCCCGTAATCCTCAAATGCGGGGGTCCTTCAGGGCGTGCGCTCAAATCCTGAAGGAGCGCACGCCACTGCAAGGGTTCGGAAGCATTAAGATCAACTATATGAACCATTTTTTCACCTTCCATAGCTTCTATGATCGCTTGATTAGCGATCACAGAAGCTACTTTCAAGAACGGAAAGTACTCAAAAAACATCTTCTTCACAAGAATATCCTCAGATACAACCCTCAACTTAGTCGAATTCAACGCCTTATAAATCCCATTCCAAGATCTCAAAATCCTATCAGCAAGAGACTCAGCGAAATACGAGGCGATTCGCTGCATTGTATCTCCATTAGGAGATGCAAGATGGGAAATTTGATCAAGTGCTATGTTAGCATTTTCAAGATTTCCAATAGCTACATGATTAGCACAAGTAAGCAAAAGGTGAATTAGATATAAACCTCTATCCTCAGATTTCAAATCATTAAGCCATTGATATGGTGAACCACCAAAATTAGGTGAAAGTGACATCATTGGGAAATTTTGAAGTGGTGATGATGAAGTCACTGATGATGAACCATCATCTTGTAACATTGTGATTCTTGAAATCAAAACCCAAAAATTTCCCAAAAAATCAAAACTTGGTGACACAAATGCCAAGAAACATTAACAAAAAAAGACAAATTTTGGCAAGAATGAGTAAAAAACAGAGCACAAGTTCCCAAAGAATGATAAATTTAGCAAGAACTTATAAACTACACAAAGAACCAAGGATTCCTTTCTGGGTAACTCAATTCATCAAAAACCCACAAAAAGCAACACAAGAACTCCCAAAATAAGTTCAAGAATCACCAGTTAAGGAAGATGAAAAAAACAGAGCACAAGTACCCAAAAAACACAAATTTGGCAAAAACTCACCAAAAAACACAAAGAACCAAGAATTCCTTTCTGGGTAACTCAATTGATCAAAAACCCATAAAAATCAAACTAAGAACTCCCAAAATAAGTTCTTAGAACAAAGTTCAACAATCACCAGAAAACAGAGCACAAGTACTCAAAAAGCACAAATTTGGCAAGAACTCACCAACAAGACAAAGAACTAGAATTCATCAAATACCCACAAAAATCATAACCAGAACTTTCCCAAATAAATAAAAAAAAGTTTTTGCTGGGTTCAAGATTTTTCTGGTTTCTCTGTGTAATTTTATTTTTTTGGTGAAGATATAGAGAGAGATGAATTTGGTTTGAATTAAAAAGGCGTGTTGGTGAGAGATCATAGTCTTGTTTTGTTGTTGACAAAGCATGGGATTAATTTTTGTCGGTAATATTTTTGTTTTTGTTTTTGTGGTTTGCTTAATTTCAGAGGAATATGGATTTTTTTGTGAAAAACAGAGCCCTCTTTTTTTTGGCTTTTTGTGCATCAGTTCTCTCCTTCTACGTGTCTCATTGTTTTGTATTCTTTTTATAATTACGGTGTTCGAGTCAAATTTGTATGTATAACCACTAGTTTCAACTTTCATTGATGTCTATCATCGTCACGTAACACTATTTGCGAATACGAATTGAACTTGAGATCTTTTGGTTGTCATTGACCATGCAACCATACCATTGAGTGCATTTCTCGTTGTTTTTATTTCGAGTGAAATGATAGAAAATACTTTAAATTATCAGATTTTCACGAGTTTTATATCTTATTTATCCATTGTTTCATTACTTTGCAAAATTATTACTTTCTTTATAATAAAACACATTTTGATACTGAGTTGATCAAATATTAGTTTCACTTGACAACAAGCGTGTATAAGTTAATTTAAGGCGTAACACATAAATGTGCTATTATTTAACTTGGTCTCATTTCACATTTATGGCCTCCAAATTTAGGTGTATACAAGTAGACACCTAAACTTGTATAAAGTTGAACAAATATATGAGTCCTACGTGACATAATATACATGAGACACCATGTAGGACTCAAATTGTCTTGTAGGATGTCACGTAAAATATGTGTGTCTATTTGTTCAACTTTATCCAAGTTTAAGTGTCTACTTGTGCACAGTCAAAGCTAAAGGACATAAATATGAGTTGAGACCAAGTTAAAGGGTATATTTATATATTATGCCTTAATTTAACATCAAATTATGTTCTAATACAAATAAAGTAATAAAACAACAAATAGTATTAGTATGGTATAAAATTAGTAAAAAATATTAATAGGTTATGGGGTGTGTTTTTTACTGAACTAACTCTTTCTCTACTTTTAGGAAATATTTCTGTTATTTTTCTCTTTTCCACATTGTAAAGAGGGGATTCAAATGAAGTACGTAGTTGGTTATGATTATTATCACACTTACAATTATTTACATACTAAGCTATTTAATGTATATATAGTTAAGAACAAATACTAAGCTATTTAATGTCTATATAGTTAAAAATAAAATATGTGATTATCTTATTAAAAATTTAAATCGTTAAATGAAGCTTTTAATTTATAGGAATAACTCTTTTTTATACTTATTTGCATCTCTTTCATTCTTGAAAACTTATAAATGAAATATCTTACATCAAGAAGTTCAAATTATTAGAGGGAGTAGTAAGTACAATCACCTAATAAGTACAATAATTTCAATACGTCTTTTATGTGTGAACATGTTCTGATATCATATTGAATTGAATATTCATTTAATAATTACAATAGTTAAGAAAGGGAAAAGAGTCTGAAAAATACTTCAATTTTGGCCGAAATTGTTGTTATGATACCAAACTTTATGGAGGACCTTTTACCCCCTACACTATTTAATAGTGTATTTTAAAGGTATATATGTGCCCATGTGGACACGTTACTTTTTATAATGATTCAATATTTATGATGTTCACGTGGGCACATATATACCTTTAAAATACACTATTAAATAGTGCAGGGGGTAAAAGGTCCTTTCCAAAGTTTGATATCGTTACAGCAATTTCGATCAAAGTTCGGATATATTTCAGACATTTTTCCCTTAAGAAAATCATACTTTTAATTATTTAATTATATCATATTTCAACACTTAATTCATCACAACCAACCCCCTTTTACCTCTCAAATATCATCTTAACTCTTGTAAATTTTTTTAAAAAGAATTCCAAACACTAGAGAATAAAAAGAACAGATAGACTACTAGATAAAAACCATGTACTGGTCTTTGCTTATGACAATATGTTTCAAATAAGAACAACCCCCCTCCAACCCCAACCCCCCACCCCCCACCCCCCACCCCCACCCCCAACACAAAATCCAAGCTCTTTTTTTTGTTGTCTCTGAGGTAGTAAGTATAGACTATGGAACAACTTCTTGGTTGTATGTTTGTCACTATCTAAAGTGGACAAGGAATCAAGGTTGGCTAAAAGACTACTATATTCTTGAAAATACACTAAAATCCAAACATGTCCTAACAAAAGACAAGAAAAATGACATCAATTCATTTGTTTTTATTGTGGGGGCAACTCTGGGAATTTTGCAAGAAGAAAAGACAATTCAACTAGGTCTTTATCTTCTCTTTCATCATAATAAATACTATTATTTCCTCCGTCTTAAATTATTTATCGTAATTCTCTTTCACACTTTCCTTTTGAAACCATTAGTTAAAATAGCAATTTAATTATTTTTACTGATATTTGAACAATTATAACATTGCCCTGTAATTATAGTCAGAGTGAAGATTTTTTGTGTGTAAAAAACAACAAACGAAGATCTTTTGTTAAAAAGACCATAAAACTAACAAATAAATAAATTTTAGGTGCCTTAAAAAATCTTATCTTTCATCATGAACTTTCAAAATGACAAATAATTTGAAATAATTATTTTTAAAAAACACCACATATAATTATTTGAGAGGGAGGAATAAGTAATACTCCCTCCACACCAATTTATACGACTAACTTTGAATTTCAAAAGTCAAACAACAAAATCTTTGATGTGATTTATTAGCATGCCTATAAATCTTTGTGATTTATAGTTTTCAAATATGCATATTATTTTTAAAAAAAATTTAAGATTATATGACCCAGTTCATAATCAAAATAAAAAGTTTTAACTCTCAAAATTTAAACAATAGTATCATATAAATTAAGACCGTAGAAAAAATGAACAGGCTAACACAAAGAGAAGATGGCTTTAAGGAAACAGACAAAAGAAGACAGCACATTTATGTTTTGTCCTTTACTTGTTAGACTCTTAGCCCAAAGGAATGGAAATTTTGGCCACTTGTTGATAAACCCAATGGTGATTTTTGGAAGTTAGCCAACCACTTTGTTGTTTCTGACTAAAGGATCCAAGATAAGTATTTAATGCAACATAAGAAACTTTGGACTATATAAACTTTGAATTTTTTATTTTATTTTCTTTTACCTTTTTGTTTTCAAAATTTGATGGTTAGGATGAGTAAATGATACCTTTGTTAGGTGTAATGTGTACTGATTATCAATAAAGGTTGTGGTGAAGTGATAAATATTTTCCTTTTTTTACGTGTCTCATTATTTTGTTTTTTAATAATTATAGTGTTCGAGTCAGTTCACATGTACATCGATTAATTCTACGAAATATGTGTCGGCTCCTGCTAGCAATATGTAGGCAGACAACTCTGTCCATCAAGGCTCGATTGATTCCATAAAAATATCTATCATCTCCTCCTACCAGCAACAAGTATTTGGTAATTTTGTCTATCAAGAATAGAAAAAATGGGGAAAAATCACATAGTGTTTTACTCTATTGGAAATTGGATTTAAGATTTCTTGGTGTTCAACCCACATTATTGACCACGAGATCATACCCTTAAAGTGCATGTTTCGTTATTTTTATTTTGAGTGAAATGATCGAATATATTTTAAATTATCAAATTTTCACGAATTTCATATCTTATTTATTCATTGTTTCTGACAGAAGGATCCAAGATTAGCAGTATTCAATGCATCATAAGAAACTTTGGACTATATATACTTTGAAAATATTGTCTGTTTTTTCTTTTTCATTTTCTTTTTTGTTTTCAAAATTTGTGTATTGTGTATTGACTATTAATAAATTAAATTGTGGTGAAGTGGTAAATATTTTTTTTATTTTTTAATCAGAGATTTTGGGATTGAGTCTCCTTGAATACAGAGTCGCTTTTGTTAGGACATATTTTACCGATGTGAATTCAAATTTAGTCAAATTTTAATATGGGTATCAAACACCGAACTAAAAACCAAATATATATATATAGAGAGAGAGTAAGCATTTGGATATATAATTTGGGGTTTAGATTTGAAATTTTTTTTTATTTAAAAAGTTAGCGTTGGCTTATATTACTTTATAAAATGTGAACAAAATTTGAATTTCAATTCAAATCATGTTTTGAAATTCCAAACTCTCAAAAAAAAAATAGATTTCAAATTCTAAGTTATAATTTCAATTCTTTTTTAAATATAAAATGTGACTTATAAGTTTAAATTTTGCAAATAAAGACTTATCATTTTAAATTTTATAAAAAAGGAATAAATTTGTTCAACGTGAACAAATTGTCTATTGCATCTGAGATGATTATATTAAAGAATAATTAGTTACTACTATTGCTGATTTATAAAAGCAGTGAATTTTTGTAAAATTATGTGTATATAATTTTTTTGAATATCATGGAATCATAAACATTTATTTATAAAATAAAATGGAGATATGTATGTAATTTATTAACACGGCGCCTTAAAATATTTTGTTACCTTGCTAATGAACTTTGATTTACTCATTTGATAAGATTGTATAAGAGTTAGGAAAATTGTGAGGTTTTCATGTTTATGAGAAAAAAAATGCAACTAAAAAATATTCAAATTACATATCCAAATAATTTCAACTTTAAATCGATTGATATATATTTTTAATACGTCTTTTGCTTAAATTTAAATATCACTTTTTTCTTATTTGATTTTAATCAAAAGATTACCATGAATATAAATATACAGTGTCAAATATTTTAAATTATATTGGTTATTGGTAAAGGATAAGTCTTATAATAAATATAAGTATAAATTATAGGAACCACATATTATAAAGTACTAAATAACATCCTATCCCTTCTAGTTTTCTATTTACCAAAAATTCCTTAAAAATTATGTTTGCGGGATACATAGCGTTGTGCACGGGATACATTAGGTTTGATACATTCCACATAGTGGGATACATAGCGTTGTGCACGGGATACATTATGTTTGATACATTTCACATAGCGGGATACATAGTGTTGTGCATGGGATACATAACGTTTGATACATTCCACATAGTGGGATACATAGCGCTGTGCACGGGATACATGCGGGATACATAGCGTTGTGCACGGGATACATAGCGTTTGATACATTCCACTTAGCGGGATACATAGCGCTGTGCACGGGATACATGCGGGATACATAGGTAAAATACGGGATTTTTGAAATTTTCGAAATAAGTAGGGATAAATGAATATTAAGGTAAGTAAAGGAGTGTAGTTAAGTAATTTGTCCTAAATAGAACTCTTATCTCAAAGTAGTCCAAATGTAAACGTAATTAAGTTGAACAATATAAAAAGTATACTATATTGTGTTTTTCGAAAGTCAATTTGATTAATTTTTAAAGTTAAATTAGATTATATTAATTTGATATTTTAAATTAAAAATTTAGATATTTTAAATTATACGAAAAGTACTATAAATTGTAATTTTTTGCATATCAATGTGATAAAAAATATATCATAAAATGTTAGTCAAAGTTCTTATCATTTGACTCAAAAAAGGAAATTATGACAATTAAAAAGAAACGAAACGAGTATTTGGATTCTTATGTTTGAATTTTGAAAATTTTCCAAGTGTCTATCGTGACCATATAAGTAAAAAAAAAATAGCTGCCAACTCGACAGTTTCAAATAGTAACGTATAAAAATAAAAATCATAAAATTAGATTTGTATTTGGAATATTTTTTGAAAAGACTATTTAGAATTTGAATGTACCTTTTTTCAGTACGGTTTATTTCCCCACTCCTCAGCCAATTTCAACTCAATTTCTTAAAACTAGCAAAATCATTCACTTGACTAGTTTATCCGAAATATATAATTAAATCTGTTTTAAAAGAGGTATATCTCAAAAGGAAAAAAAACTCAAATATATCATCGAAGTTTGAGAAAAGGCTTATTTATGTCATTTGTTAAAAGTTTGATTTATCTATGCCATTATTTGTAAACGAAAAAATATTTTTGATTTTGCAAAACTAATTTTTACACGTGGTCAATTATGATTCGGTCACGCCGTTAATTAAATCATTTTTTAAAAGGGAAAAAGCTCAAATATGTCATCGAACTTTGAGAAAATGTTCATTTATGTCATCCGTTAAAACATTGGCTCATCTATGTAGTTCAGTTGATAAATAATGACATGAATGAATCTTTTCACAAACGAAAATGACATAAATGAGCCAAATTTTTAACATATGGCATAAATAAGGCTTTCTCAAAGTTCAATGTCATATTTGAGCCTTTTCCTATCTCAAAATAGATATAGTCACAAGTGTGATAGATTAGGCCTTATATACGACCTATACATACTATTATAAATATTTTTTTTCACTTTATTTGAAATTTTTGAAGTTGGAGTTGTATTTGGTGATAGTTTTACAAATAATAAAATAGTTATTTGAGTACTTTAAAAAAAATAAAATGAAATATAACTTAAATGAGGCTATTTTCATAGGGAAAAAGGGACATAAATTGAAAAAAGAAAATTTAGTAAAAGTGGAAAAAGTGCAAACAAAGTATTATGTAGGCAACATTAAAATAAATAGTCCATATATTATGTATGATATTATTTAGTACTACGTTTGGTAGAAATTTGGGCCTATGTATAACCTCCTACATGGTATTATAGGATGTATTACTAATACCTTCCATTTGGAGGGATTAGTAATACATAGGATATAATATCATGGGATAAGTCATGTAAAGACAAAAATATCCCTCAAATCATTTTAATTATTTTCTTGATTTTATGATTTATATTTGTACTAGTAAATTTATTTAAATAAATTAGCTTACAAATTATTTAGAGAAAAGTTGTTTGTTACTAAATAAATCCAATACAAATTAATACAATATTTGAAATGTGAGTTGTTTGACATTAACTAATTAAACGGGCAAATATATCACCACATGACGTTTGTGATCTTAATTGAATGTATAATTTGTATGTGTGTGTATATATATATATATATATATATATATTTGTGTGATTTTCTTAATTATTTGTATTTTGAAAAATTTATAATACATATTAAAACTACAACTTGCAATTTTTATGTGTAAATGTAGATGATTTATTCAATTTTACTATTGTTTGCCGTCTTTTCAATTTTAAAAGTTGATAGCTTATTTACTTTTTAATTGAAAATTGACATTTTGTAAGTAATCAATACTAAGATGAAAATTATTTATCCGCAAATAATTTAAGTGAAAAAGAGGCAAACATGACAACAAGATTGTGCTTCTCATAGCTAGTTAGAAGGCCATAAAAAAATAATATTGTCCGGCAATTATTTACCTTAACTCAATTACATAATAATTCAAGGGTATGATTGGAAAAACGTTTTTTTATAAAGTTTTAATACAAACATAAGATGAGGTGAGAAACAATGAACCAAACACTTGATAAAAATAAACCCTGCATTACTAATCCCTGGACTATTAATCCCTGCATTATTCATCTTTGTACCAAACGACCCCTTAGTGTTTTATCTAAATTTTTCATTGCAAAACCCAATTTTCAAATAAAAAATCAGCAAAAAGTAAATAATTCTTATGATCAAACGGTCCAAAATTGCAATAAAGATAGTTCACTAGCTTATAATTTATTTAGTCAGTTTTTTAAAATCAACTTATTTATAGAGTTTTTTTTTTTTTCTAAGAAAGTATCTTTGATGAGAAACAATTTATGTTTAATCGATAAATTTGAAAAATATTTTAACAACAATTAGTATATGATCAAGATTTTCAAAATCATTTCTAATTGTATTTTTCTCAAAAGTATTTTTTTCCTTTTCAACTTCCGCGCAGTGGCGGAGCCAGAAATTTTACGAAGGGTGTTCAGAAATTGCACAAGTACATTTTTTTTCTTTTTATAGTGTGAAAAAGGGTTTAAAAGTTACTGCTAGTGAGATTCAACACACGAGCACTTTAAGCCTCAACCCTTTCAAGGCACCTGAAATCATTGGGCTACAATACCCTATTATGTTAAGGATGTCCAAAATATGTTATTTAATCAATTCAATATCATTTTACTTATATATACGGTGTTATTTTCCGACGAAGGGTGTCCAATTGGATACCATGTAGCTACTCCCCTGCTCCCGCGACTCTCCAGAAGCACTATTCCAACGAAGGGTGTCCAATTGGACAACCTCAATACCATGTAGCTACTCCCCTGCTTCCGCGACTCTCCAGAAGCACTATTCCAACGAAGGGTGTCCAATTGGACAACCTCAATACCATGTAGCTACGCACCTGCTTCCTCAACTCTCCAGAAGCACTATTCTGACGAAGGGTGTCCTTGGACAACCTCAATACCATGTAGTTACGCCCCTGCTTCCGCAACTCTCCAGAAGCACTTAATTTCTCTTAATAGGCTTCAAATCTAGAGATTTGATTCATTCAAGACTAGTTTACAACTGTTTGAGAACGAATAATTGAGGAAGGAGAGACCAAGGCTATATAAGCCCCACATCAGTTCCTCATTAAACCGATGTGGGATTCAAGTCTCATTCCTTACGATAATATCATAACATAAAAGTTACTAGCATTAGCTGCAATATTCATCTTTTAACATATTTCGAAGTAAGATTTGTAACGCTGAGCTAGACCAAACATACCGAGTGTACCTCCTGTGTGAAGCATTACCACTTCTGCAGATTCCTCCTGACCAAGTTGAGTTGCCAGTTCCCAAGCAGCCAAAGTGTAAACCGGATCGAGAAGAATACCGGTGTCTTGAGCAATCTTTCGACATATTTCGACTTCCCCCTTCAGTATATTGCCAAATCTGTAAGACAACAAGGAGAAGAAAGAAACTCCCTTAGATATTCAGTTCCATTTTCTGCAATTCTAGAATGATAACATGCAGATATAGTAGGCATTGAGATAATATTTAGTTGAAGTTGAAAAAAGACATAATATATGATCAGACACTTGGATTTGTTACACTTGAGCTGAGGTGTCTTTCGGAAACAGTCTCTCTATCCCCATGAGGTAGTGATAACGTCTGCGTACACTCTACCCTCCCCCTAGACCCGACTTGTGGGATTCCACTAGGTATATATGTTGTTGTATATAAACAGACACTTAAACTTGACCTCAGTTGGCAAGTAAACACTCTTTTGAGTATGCTCATCTAGACACCTCAACTCGTCTCTCCGTAGTGTCAGTTGAACATTCCAACTTGCAAAATGATCATCTATACACCCCCAAAAATTATGTCACGTCATAATTGGGTATCCATGAGACATAGTAGGGACAAATTGGAGTGTTTAGTTGCCAGTTGAGGTGTCTAGATGTGCACTCTGGAGTGTTTACTTGCCAGTTGAGGCCAAGTTTGAGCGTCGGTGTATATATTATGCCTTGGAAAAAAAAAGAGTACTTGAAGTTGAAGTCGAGAAAGAGTATTTGGATGAAAATCTGAGTGAAAAATCATTACATAATTTAAAATACTGTCAAACAAGTTTTTCAAATATTTCAAATGCTGATTTTCATTATTTATAAATACTGATGAACAAGTCAATATTTGCAAATATTGAAATATTATTGATTGTCAACGGGTAGTCGCTAGTCAACATGGAGAGGTAAGTTTGAGAAGAAGATATCCAGTTGCACAATGCATGTTTGTCCCAGACACCAAATACCTGGGAACTTCTCACGGTGAGAAACATCAGTTATTACTCTCTCAAAGACGAGATACGACAGGGAAAAAACAAAAAGCAAGAGCTATACCTATATCAGAGAATAAGACTAATAGAAGTATTACTTACTTTCTCGGAGAGCTGCGTTCGACCCAGTGCACAAGTCCAGGTTCCAATCCGGTTAGCATTTGCTCGCCAAGATGAAGAGTAAAGCATCTACGGAATTCAGAAATTAAACTTTCCTCCTTTTTCTGGTATCCATCAATAGTGTCAGCTAGCATAACAGCAGTGACCTCCCATGGGAGCCTAGTAATGAGTTTGTCGGTTAGATAGACATTGGCTATTATAAAGATGGAGATAATGTGATGCATCGAGGAAGAAATAGAAGAATCTCACCCTAAGCACACTGCTCCAATTCCAACACCAACAGCGGTTGTTCCTGTTCCAGCATCTATAATAATTTTTAACTGCTGATCTTTCCCAAATAGATGGTCCTGAGACAAGTACTCAACCAGGCGCACAACACCTGCATGAAGCATTAGTTTGACATATATAACTGAAGTTATAAAGGAAACACACAAGTAGCTGAATCTTCACAAGCAATCAGCACGGAAAGTACTAAGTTAGATAATTACGTAATGGATAAGGTAGTCCTTGTTCCTTGGGAACAGACTGATGAAAAATATTGGACAAAATCCGACATTTAGCAATAATTTGAGGCTTATCATTAAGAGAGTGACCCTTTGATGACATGAAAAAAAAAAACAGATTACTGAAGCATTCTCTGAAAGATTTCATTAGCGATTACTTCTTTTCCACAAGGCACATGTATAGCACGTTATTTAATGTATATGTTGTCACATATGTTGACCAACATGTAACAAAATCTCTTATTAACTGTCACCACAACAAACAAAGCAATTACCTAGCAATGCAGCAGCATCTCCAGCCCCTTCATTTATAATAGCTACCTTCTTACTCCTTTTTGTAAGAGAATCCACGTGTGAGGAGTGTTCACCGCATCCATGAGAGAATAAAGAAGCCTCTAAATCAGCAAGTGAGAAAACTAAGCCATCATTTCCTGCGACGGTATGTGCATGCTTTAAGAGCATCTCCTCCCTCCTAGCATATAGAGATCTCGGAACATAACTAACATTTCCATATAATGTTGAAATTAGATTGTAACCCGTCAGAGTTGCTGGCTGTTCTCCTCGGAGAAGTAAATGTGACTTCAATCCCCTTTCAGCACATGACACAGCTGCATTACAAGTAAACAAAAAGGTTAAAATGAAGTATCTATCTCTATCTGGCAACGGCACAAGTAAAATTTGAAAAAGAAGAATGAAATTAATAAATTTGGCAGTTAACCTGTGGCATGACGTACCAACAGCTGCAGCATGCGCACTTTGGCACCCTCCACATGTGACCTAGAATTTTAAAAGGATCACAATTAAATGAGAATTTATTTTCCACATTCCTTGATCTCGAAGAGACTAAATATAGAGGATGCTATTAGGTCATGGAGTGTCAGAAGACAAAATCTTTCTGATTAACTAGTCTTTCGTTCTGCATACATGTTTTTGGCATTAAAAGGGCAAAGCAAGCAAGAGCATGCAGAACATAAACAAGAGAAAATGTAAGCAGGCGTAAAGGAAAGACATTATAAGACGTCACTTACTTTAGTTACTTGTTCTACATTGCACAAACTCTCTAAAAAATATCACCAACTTAAATGGATGATAAAATTCCCACTTTGAATAACACTAGCTACTTAAATTTTAGAGCAACTATCAGCAGCTAAAGATTTGATGTAGACAAAGTTATCTATCCATCTGAGTAACAATCCGGTGATAAAAACTCCAGGAAATTATATAAACATTAATCTAAAAATTTGAGCAGATCGAGTTTGATCGTTGCTTTGTCAAGTCTTTTGGTTCCCCTTGCTCAACTTTTAAAAGTTACAATGATGAACAGGCAAGTTAAATTGGTATTTTTAAATTTAATGAACTAACTTAACTTTTGGTACCCCTTTAACTTTAGACTACACATACCCTTGAATTCAGTATGCTTTTAACATGCAGGGAGAAATACAAAATACACGAACCACCAAGTTTTTTTAATGAACTTCGATACCATGATTATGAGTTGCTAAATGTCAATATTACGCAATGGATATACAAGAAGATAAAAACTATTCTAAAAGATAGAGGCATCAAATGGTCTTACGACATCTGTGACAGAACTATCTTCCAAGAGAGGGAGTAGTGCATCCAGTTTCCTCGCCTTATTACCATTCACCAAAGGATGCAACAAATCATCTCTTACAACATAAAATGAAGGTTGCTGTTGGTTGTTTTTCGTCATGTGATCACCCATAGACGGTTGTGGATTATTCAGAAAGGAAAGATTCCCAAGATATTCACCTCCCTGTTGAAAATCATCTTTTGATATCATTATTTGGTTAATTTTGGTATCTGGGATTCTCAGTGCCCATTTCCTCTTAAGAAATCTGGACACATGCTCCTTCTTAGGCAAATTGGATTTCACCGTTTCCTGAAACACAATCGAGGAATTAATATTATTCAAGAATTACTCAATCTTGAACTTTCATTCCTCATTGAAGATTTGAAATACATCAATTCTCCAGATGTTAAAGTAAAATGTAAACCAATTTCACCAAAATTATCAGAATATCACGAAATATTATAGTCAAAGCATTCAATAAAGCTATAGTTCTACATGATAGACACTTCTACTTTTTTTTTATTTTTTAATAACCAACCGACAACTCCGTTGTTTTGAACTTTGAAACTTGGTGGATAATGTGCCCCCTTATCCCCTTCTCCACTTAAATACCAGACTTGGTTCACAACAACATTTGGACGCGTGGAATGCGCCTACTATACATTGCATGATGTACTATCTTTCGGTGAACCAAAGTTGTGGGGCCAAATAAACTTTAACCTACAAATTGATTGCTTTTCCAAAATCATAATTTGTAATGCGCCTACTTGCTTTGAAACTACCTAGTATGTTGTGTGCGAGCGCATAATAGGACATGTATGCTATTTTGAGCTATTCTTACATGTTATACCTTCTTACAGCTTAATGAGTGGTAAAAGCTTAATCTAAACCTGTTTTACTATAAATTAAGCATGACATAGTAGTATTTGATTGATTGAAGCATGCTAAAGATATATAGCAGTGTAGTACGTGCTATTAATTTGTTCAGTGAAAAGTCCATCAAGTATGATAATTGTCTGTACTAAACGTTATAATTGTTTTAATTGAGATTATCTGAATCTTATATCACATTGTTAGTGTAGCCATCTTATCGGTGAGGGCCAATGGATTTGGTCTAGTCATGATATTGATGAGAGCATAGGAAAGCGGTCTAGCAGTTCTATCTAAGAAATATCTATGGCTTTGGCATGGTAGTTTTATCTGTGTAGGGCCTATGGGTTGGTCTAGTGAGTGCCCAAATGAGGACCAAGTGTGCTTATGTGATTTGTTGCCGCGGTTGATAATCATTGAATTGTTTCACCTGCTATGGTTATTTATAGTATTTACACATACTCTGCTTTTGCTTTCATGCATTTATTTTAAATACTTGCTTCGAGGGGTGAGATGGAGGAGGGGGTCAATGATCTTAATGGGTTTTGTGCTCCACCAAATTCACTTACTAAGCCGAGCAAATTCCTCTACTAGTGGCACCGCGGGACTTATCTGGTCTTAGTTCAAGGCGGCATACCTAGTTCTGCTGATATGAGCCAACCACAAATTGTTCGTGGTGGCAGCTATGACGCTTTCTGTCTTCATTTCGGTTTCACGTTGTTTCCCTTGATCTTGTATTCAAATTCTATAGTAGCTCCTTGACTATACTATCGGGGTTTCAGGTTTATCTTTCACACTTGTACTATTTCTTTTCAAATTCCATTGCTTATTGGATTTCTAGGCTTTACTTATGTTTGCAAATGCTTTACTTTAAAGTTAAACATTATTCTCGAATTGGTTTTGAAACAATGAAGTGGTTCACCTAAGGATAAGTAGTCACTCATTAGGTGCCAGTTGCGACAAGTGGAAATAGGTCTAGACAAATTAGTAGGGGTTTGACTATATGAACCATTCGTATTCATTCTGCACTACTTAGGTTCATTTATCATAAGATTCACCATAATTAGACTGGTTTTAAGCAGACCATTAACCCACTGAACTTCCTCCTTTATCTGATGTTTGGAACTGGTAATGCTTTGCCAAACTCACATAGATGGTTTATTCAAGATTCATTAACTCTAATTTCTCACAACTCATAGTAACACATCAATTATTTGAACGTTAAAGCAAAATTTAAACCACTTAACCAAGTGTCCACAAAAATAATTGGTGAATTATTCGAACTTAAATCTGTTATACTGAGAAAAGAACCTGACAAATTAGAAAACATTAAAAAGAGTCAAAGTTCACAAAAATGCTCTCAATGGATAATAGAAAATAGCTAAATAACTTATGCTACACATCCAAATTATGTCAGGATTGTTAAGAGTGGGATAATCCTCAACCTACGAACTAGATTTTGAGATTGAGTTAGGCCCAAGATCCATTCTTTAACATAGTATCATAGTCAGACCCATTCCAATTCTTTGTTCACCGATGTTGACCCCGTATTTTATGTCCACACTCCAGTTAATGAGCTCTGGGTGTGCAGAGGAGTGTTAAGAGTCCCACATCCGCTATGGGACAGGTAATTGATCTCGTTATATGGACTTGGATAATCCTCACCCTGTAGACTAGCTTTTGGAGTTGAGTTAGGCCCAAAATCCATTCTTTAACATGATATTGGAGTCAGACTCATCCTAATTCTTTGTTCATCGATGTTGGGCTTCCATATTATATTTTTTTTGAACTTGGTAACTTAGTTGGGCCCCCATATTATATTGTCCACACTCCAGTTAATGAGCTCTAGGTGTGCAGGAGAGTGTTAAGAGTCCCACATCCGATATAGCATAGGTAATTGGTCTCGCTATATGGGCTTGGATAATCCTCCCCCAATAAACTAGTTTTTGGAGTTAAGTTAGATTCAAGATCCAATTTTTTTAACATGGTATAGGAGTCAGACCCATCTCAATTCTTTGTTCACCAATGTTGGATCCCCCATATTATATTGTCCACGCTTCAATTACTCATGTTTGGGTGAGCGCGGAGAGGGGCAGGGAATATGGTTAATTGGTCTTCTTACATGAATTTGGACAATCCTCACCATGTAAGCTAGCTTTTGGGCTTGAGTTATGCCCCGAACTACAAACACCATTGAAATCTATCTATTAATCAAAGTTTTTACAGTTCTTAACACAATTATACTCTAATTTCAACATACACAAGTAAAAGTTTGAATCTTTACATCAAGAATGGGGTAAAGAGGAAAAGATAAAAAAGGGTAAACCTTGAGACCATTAGGAGATGAACCACAATGAAGGTTGAATGCAGAAGATAAAATCATCCCATTTTTTGGCTGCTGCCATTGAAACTTTGTGCATTTCAACATTTTTCTGTTCAATTTTCAAGAATCATCTCTCTCTGTGCTGCAATTTCTGTATCAACATGTGAAGTGATATTGCCAGAGATGTTACTTCAGCCGCCAAGAGGTATATTTGGGCTAGTTGATGATTTACTAGGAAAAAAAAATTAGTCATAGAAATTAAATATTATTTTATTTTGAATTTCTTTTTAAGAAAATATTTGAAGTTGAAATTGCATTCGGTTATAATTTGGTTGTTTGATTTTGGGAAACTTATGCGGAATAACAAATTTTTAGCCTATATTATGTACTATAGATACAATATAAGAAATTGCAATTTGCGGTTATAGTTTTTCCAATTTTTGCTATTTAGTTTCCTAATTGTATACATTCAGAATTTGTATAATTTGGTATGTGATTATATAAATTCAGAATTTATAAAATTCGGTTCATGATTGTATAAATTCAGAATTGTATATGCTTACCCTAGATATTTATATACGATTTATGAAAAAATCATAATAAATTACCCTATTTGTATATTGGTAGAATATACAAACGAAATTCTAAAATATTCCTATATGTATAAATACAAAATTTGTATATACTTACCATGTTTGTATATTCGCAAATGAAATATACAAACATGCAAGTGAAACATATAAACGGGCAAGCAAAATATACAAACCGCAGCCTCCATTTGTATATACTTACTCTGTTTGTATATTTGCAAGCAAAATATACAAATGGACAAGCGAAATATACAAACTACAGCCTCCAATCTCCATAGCAAACGTAACTAGAATTATGAAGCACAATTACCGAAATTATAGTTATAGAGTCTTATTATGTCTATTATTTTTGTTATTTCTAAAATTTTCTCTATTTTTAAATATACTTTTAATTTTGTTATGATTAAATGTGACCGAATTGCAATAAATTTTTATTTTAATAAATAAAAGTTTTTTTAGAAAATAAATAATTCTTATGGTCAAATTGCTCATTAAAGTAGTCCTTATGCCCCTAAACTATTCGAAAAGATCTATATACCCTCCGTTTAAAGTTTAGCTCACTCGTGCCCTTGTCGTCCAACTTTTCGTCTAGATATGCTCTTATGGGCGTTAGTTGGTCTGCTGGACATATCTAACTCATTTTTCATTTATTTAAATGTCACATGGAATTGCCATGTCATTTTGACTTTACCACATGACATTTATATGAAAATGGAAAGGGATCAATTATGCACCTAAAAAATTTGAACCTATAAACGCCTAATCCGACCCATAAATCAACCCCCTTTTAAATAAACTACCCGACCCGTTTTCAACAATTTTGTTTAATTTTTTATTTTTTTCGATAAATCCCGAAAATGAGTAATTGATTAATAAAAAATAGGAAAAATATGAAAAAAAAAAAAATTAATGCCAAAAATTCACAAATAAATATTGTAACCTTAAATTCAACAATTTCAACAATTTTTTTTATTTGTTTTCTTCGGTAAATCCTGAAAATGAGTAATTGATTAACAAAAAATATATAAAATTAACGCCAAAAAATCACAAATAAATATAGTAACCTTAAATTCAAAAATTTCAACAATTTTTTAAAATTTTTTCTCTGCAAATCCCAAAAATGAGTAATTTATTAATAAAAAATAGGAAAAATATGAAAAAAAATATAAAATTTTCGCCAAAAATTCACAAATGAATAGAGTAAAATTAAATTCAACAATTTTATTTTTTTCGGTAAATCTCGAAAATGAGTAATTGATTAATAAAAAAATAGGAAAAATATGAAAAAATATATAAAATTAAAAAATTTAATTTTATATTTTTCCTATTTTTTATTAATCAATTAATCATTTTTGGGATTTACCGAAAAAAATAAAACTTAGTTGAATTTAATGTTACTCTATTTATTTGTGAATTTTTGACGTAAATTTTATATATATTTTCATATTTTTCCTATTTTTCATTAATAAATTACTCATTTTCGGGATTTGCCGAAAAAAATAAAAATTAAAAAAAATTGTTTAAATTTTGAATTTAAGGTTACTATATTTATTTGTGATTTTTTGGCATTAATTTTATATTTTTTCATATTTTTTATTAATCAATTACTCATTTTCGGGATTTACCAAAAATAAAATAAAAAAAATTGTTGAAATTGTTGAATTTAAGGTTACAATATTTATTTTATATTTTTTTTCATATTTTTTATTAATCAATTACTCATTTTCGGGATTTACTGAAAAAGGTAAAAATTTAAATAAAATTGTTGAAAACGGGTCGGGTAGTTTATTTAAAAGGGGGGTTGATTTATGTGTCGTATTAGGTGTTTATGAGTTCCGAATTTTTTAGGGGCATAATTGTTACCTTTCAATTTTCATATAAATGTCATGTGGTAAAGTCAAAATGACATGACAATTCCATGTGACATTTAAAGAAATGAAAAATGAGCTGGATATGTCCAGCAAGCCAACTAACGCACATAATGGCATATCTAGATGAAAAGTTGGACGACGAGGGCATGAGTGAGCCAAACTTTAAACGAAGGGTATATCTAAACCTTTTCGAATAGTTTAGGGGCATATTTGACTTTTTTTCCTTTTAAAATTTAGAGTTAAAGTCAACTTTATGTTTTTTTTCTTACGTGAAGCATTAGGGGTGGTTTGGTAGGATGCAGAACCAAAAAGAAACATTTAGTATATAATTTTGTGTACTATTAATAATTTATTTGGTATGTAACCAGAAACAAATAAAATAATTTATTTGGTAAACTCTTTCAAGATGTAGATAATATTGTATTCTTTTTGCTTGATCTTAATTGACATTTTCAATTTTGGATGTATATATAAGTAGGCGCTTGGACATGTGATATAGACTTATGATATGAAATTAAACTGATATAGAATTGACATTTTATTTGGATATGCAATTTGCATTTCTTAAAATATTTTTTTGTAAATATTAAAATTCTTAAATAAGATATCAGAATATTTTAAGACGCTGTATTGTTCGATTATATATTTTCATTCCTTTTATTAATAAATTGGAGTGATTACAAACTTTCAAACACATAGTATAATTTTATCAACAATATATAAATAATTAATGTTTCTGTAATATAATACTTTCACATGATACGAAACAAACAATTTTTCCACATTGAAAATGAGTTTTTTTTTCTGCAAATTTTTACATGATGGCCTAAATACTTAAATTACACAACTTATTTTACCATATTCGCTAAAATTTTCTACCATTTGAAAAAATTACAAAAATTCCTACTCTCTCATATTCTCAGATACATCAATTTACGTGATATATTGGCAGAATACATTACTTTACGCGATGTATCGGGATGCACGCGATGCATGACGTTGGGTGATGTATCCGAAATGAAGACGCGATATATCGGGACGATGATAGATGTATCCAAAACCGTGACGTGATGTATCGGGACTTTTTCAGATGTATGTGGATTCCACCAAATTTAAGGAATTTTTCTAGTTTGAAAAAAGATAGGAATAAAATATAATTAACTTTTAACCCTATGAAATTCGGGTAAAATTCCCAAATTTTAATGATGGTCTATGAAATTGTATATGCTTATCAACTACTATAAGCGCAAAAACGACGAAGTTTCGCTTCTCAGATTCTATTTTTCTAAAATTTTCATTTTTAAAAATTATTATGAAATCCCTAATATATAAAACTTCAAAAAACATGTGTCTCTTACTGGCTCTGGATTCCACCGCCCTAACCCCACCGTCTTCGCCACCGCAGCTGTTCGCCGCCGGTAGCTTTTCACGGCAGTAAAGGTAAATTGTTCCTTCTCTATTTTCTTGTTGTTGTTGTTGTTTTTAGAAAGCATAAAGCATCAGACACTGAATCCAACATGAATTTTGTGAAAAAATAAATTCTGCAAATAGTTTAGCAATCCTTGAATAGTTCGAACTTTGAAATTCTGTTAATGATAGCTGTATTTGGAGTAAATATGAGTGAACTGAGAAGTTATGCTACTCTGTTTCTGAAAGCATGGAGTTTTAACCTTCTATCATTTCAATAATTAAAAAGGGTACAATGGAAATTTTTTAAAATTTTCAACCAAAAAAGATATAAATTTCATTTGACTATGGAAGTTAATGGAAATGTTATATACTCAATAACAAAAATGCAGACCTTAACCCTATCTTGTGGAGGTAGAGTCTTTTTTTCGAAAGACCTCAGGTTTAAGTAAAACATATCAAAAATAGATTTATAAGGAGAAAACACAAGTAATTAAGACATCAGAAATAATAGGGGAACATTCTAAAGCGTAGAGAGGAAATGATCAGTAATCACAATAAAATAAAATGATAACTAAAGCACGATTAACAATATGTAGTAGCAGAAATTGAGGGACCAAAAACTACGAGAAAATATATTATATCCTCATTTAAGCTTATACTGGAGTAATGGAAAGAAATTAATTGTTATTTTGTTGGTAGGCATATGTGTTTGCAGTTAAATTTTCTTATAGTTGCTCAACCAGTTTCTAACTACTTGTGCATTGTATTTTATTATTTCTAATGAGGCTACCTGTAGAAAATGTTCCAAAAATTAGTTTCCAAGGCCAAACAATGGGTAAATTGTCAGGTTTGTTTTTCTCCCTATACACTGATTTAACAGAGAAAATCCCTTTGTTCCGCAGCTTCTAGACTGGTTTGTCTGGTATAGTAGAAGTTCCCGTGAATAAAGTTCAAATCCTGATAAGGTTTAAATCCTGGAATAAAGTTCTAAGATTGCTTTGCGAATCCAGCTAACTTACCATAAGGAAGTTTTTGCCCCATCACCCACCTTTATGCTCAGATTATCACTGCATTTATTCCACTCCCTTCTAATAGTTTTCCATATACTGCATCCATATGTAGTCTTCACTTCTTTTGTTGTCCAGTGGTTCATCAAACCATATTTCTGTGCCGTGTATGTCTTCCAGAGGGACCTGTCCTCATTACAGAATCTCCAGATCCATTTTGGGAGAAGACTCTAGTTATGGTATCTGATGTCTCGGGTTGAGACAAAAACACCAGGCGATTTCTTCCCATATGTTCTAGTCTCGGTAGACGAAATTACATGGTTCCTGTTGTTGCTGGTGGGAGGTGGAATTAGTCGAGGTGCGTGCCTAAGCTGGTCGAATACCACGGTTATTAAAAGAACACGCCAAATAGTCATCTGCATAAGGCAAATGTGTGATCTCCATGCATTCACCTCTGTTAGTTTGAGATCCAAACCCCTTAATTCATCCATTAAAGTTGGCTTTTCTGATCATGCCCCTTCATGGCTAGTAAAAAAAAAGAACACAAAGGATCTCTTTGTCTCAAACCCCTATTGGATTGAAACCTTCAGGACTTCCATTTATTAGGACAAAAAACATCACACTGGATATGCAACCCATGTTTCTTAGTGTGTTTATAAGGAAAGCCCAATTGACATGGTCATAGACCTTTTCAATATCCAGGCCTTTTCTATTTCACTCTAGAATCCACCAACTCATTAGCAAGCAAAGCTGCATCCATAGTCTGTCTACCCTGCAAAAAGGTCACTTGATGCACATCCAGTAGTTTCTCCATGACAGTCTTCTGTCTTTCTGTGAGTAGCTTGGAAATGACCTCGTAAATTCCCCCTATTGAACTTATAGGTCTGAAATCTTTTAATTTTTGAGTTCCAAACTTCTTAGGTATTAGAGCTATTGAAGTAGCATTGAGAGACTTCTCAAAAATCTCATTCTAGTGGAAATTGTTAATTATTTGCAGAATGTGTACTATCCCTCATTATGAGGATACCTCCTTTGCTCCCTTCAGCCTCAAGAAGTCCACATCTCATCCATCTGCAAGCCCATTATTGTTTAGCATATGATTCCACATTGTTTGCCAATTTAGTTTCTTGGAAATAGTAAACATCAAACTAGTAGATAAAACAAGAATACAACCCGTTTGGATTGACTTAAAAAAAGTAGTTTTTTTTTCTTATCTAATAAAAGTAGCTTTTAAGTTAAAAAAAAAAGTAGGGGGAGACCTACTTTTGGTTTTTAACTTATTTTAAGTCATCTTAAACTTATTTTAAGTTATATTTAACCTTTGCCAAACACTTCCCGAAGTAAAAAACTGACTTAAAAGTAGGTGTGGCCAACTTTTAAGCCAATCCAAACATCCTCTAAGAGAAGTCCAAATTTAGTTCTTAGAGATTTTTTGCGCCTTTCGCCTTTGATAAAACTGTAGCTAGCAAAAATATACATCTTTGTTTAAGATTGTATATTTCTTCTGTTGCCTTAAAAAATTCTGCTATTCTTCAAGCCATGCAATCCACCAAATGGCCTGAGGAATGGTATTCTAAGTCTTTCGTGATTTTTTGCACAACCCCTCTTTGCCAACATTGTAGTTGCCTAAAAGTGATTTTTGGCATGGTCCAGACATGCCAAGATTGCCAACAACGTGCACCACAACTGACTTGTAACTTTACAATGCAAGAAAAGGTGTCCAACATCTTCAGAGTGTTCTTCACCCATTAGAAACCTTCTGCAAAGCTGAAATTTTCTCTTTTGGCGGTTGGAATGAGTGAGGCAAGCTTCCCTAGCCACAATCCAAAAAAGCAAAAGCCCTTCAAAAGAGCCTTGCTGCCAGATGTTTTTCCAAGGCCAAGAAACTGTTGTTGCTTGATACCAACAAGCTGCTGCAACTTCCGACTGTAAAGAAACCTTTGGGATGTTCCATCCTTCTGAAGAAGAGATTGTTAATTCATAGGAGAAAACATACGTTGCTTTAGGAAACCATTTCCCAATAATTGATCAATGGTCATATTGAGATAGACAAGAGAATGCCTATAATGTAGAGTGAAGTTTAGAACTTTTTTAGTTAAAGTTGGAGTTGAATATGCTTCACGCGTGTTTGAATTAGGTCTGCAATCGACACTTCATGAGTTTGATTGAATTTGGTAACCACATCTAAGATGTAGGTGCTAGTTACTAATTATAATATTAATTTTGATTCTTTTATTTTTGGCTTAAAGCTCAATCTCCTCAAAAAATTCTCTTTTCCAGATGGCAGAAAAGAATCATATTTATACCTTTTCTTATTAGAGAGGTTACCATATGATAAACTATCGAAAAAATTAGGGTAAACTAATGTGATTATGACATTGTAAGGTAAGTACTTGAGATGGGGCGGATGCGACTTCGCTCAGTTAGTTTGGGTGGCACATGCTTCATCATTGTTTAAGTTAGGCCACCATATTTACACTACAATTGCCTTATAGGAAGATAATGTTAAGATAGTTAAGAATAGTTTTGATAAAATTTGGTAACTGAATCTAAGTTGCAACCGCTAATTAGTAAATTATTAATGTTGGTTCCTTCAGAAAACAATAACTGATGAGTCTTAACTCACAATAATTTCAATAACCTTTTCTGTCATTGTCGGCCACCACTTGTAGATCATGCAAATTCGAACAAGATTTAACGTACATATATTCATAGTGTCATAAGTATTTTAATTTTCAGAATATTTTAACATGTTACTAGTTACATGCCTTTGTCTTTCAGGTTACTAAACATATATTATGGATGGTTACCTGCAAATATCTTTTAGTTGACTTGATAGTGTACAAAATTCCAGTCTTACGTACCCTGAGAGCTTCCCAACTCTTCTATATGCTCAGATACTAAAGATCTATGAAGCCACAGAGAGAGATTCAGAAAATCAGAATTACTGGTTTGTCTGAGAGCTTTTGAGTATCTTTTCAAGGTTTGTTGAATTCTCAGTTTTTTCTTTTTCTGGCCACCAGTTACATTTTTGAAGTAATGTATGTATGACATGCAAGTTTCTGTGTGCTTCTACACGCACAAAGAGGCACATTTTAAAATTTTTATGTGTAGATTCTACTGCTTTACGTCTGCTCGTTTTTTGAATTTTTTAAGCATTTCATCTTTTGAACTATATCAAATTCATTGATGGATTTTGACTTCTCTGATGTATGGAAATTTTCTATTGGAAACTGTAGAGAAAGAAATGGCATAAAAAATTGAATCTAGGATTCTAAGTGAGTGGGTGTAAATTCTGCTGCACCAAGTCTTCATCTGTGGTAAGGGATACACAAGTTAGTACCATTGTCGTAAAGGTACGATCAACCCCTGATAGCAAAGCATGTTTGTCAGGGAAGCATGTTCCAATTTATATGGTACAGTTTGAACTTTGAGATCGGATTTTTAAATTGTGATCATAAATTTGGACATGAAATCTTTGAAGTTCTGTTGAAATCAAATTTACATATTTGGAAATTGTTAAAAAGTACTAAAAGTCGTAATAATTGATAATTCAAAATATTTAAAAGGCGTATGAAAAAATCACAGTAAAAACTCATTTGACTCTCGAAATTCAAAAGGTGCCACATAAATTGGGACATAGGGAGTATTTTTTTTTTTCATTTCCTTTTTGTCCCAATGATATGGGATTTCGGACTCAGCAGTTTGTTTATTTCTTTTTATTTGAATTTCCTTCTGAAACATCGGAAGAGTTAGGATACGATCACATTATATTGCTAAAAGCTCAAAAATTTGAATTTCTTTTTTTGCTTGTGGTTAACTCCCTGATTAAATAGGTGTTTTTGTTCTCAGGAGTTAACCATATATTTGTGTATGTAATTTGCATCTTCTTGATGCCTTTCTAATACAACATCTTACTTCATCAAAAAAAATAAAAATATTGCTAAAAGCTCATTAAACAATTTTATATAAAAATGTAGAATTTCTTATCATAAATGAAGTGTAAGCATGTCTGGTCTAATGGATTTCTTGTGCTTTTTTTTGGTTCTCTTTCATGAAGGTATGGCCTCCAAGGATGAACATAAGGAAAATGAGGCAGTCGAGGCACCCTCAGAAATTCCCAGAGATGAAAAATCGATCAACCCAGTGGGTGAAAGTTCTGTTGTCTTGCCGCGTGTTGTGCGTATTTACATGCCAGACAGTGACGCCACAGACTCATCTAGTGACGAGGAGGAAAAGCTTCAAGGAGAGAAGTCCAAGAGACATGAAAGGACGTGTATAAAGGAAATCATCATTGAGAATGGAAAGACCAGGGTCATTTCAAAGAAGATGTCCAAAGAGAAGAAAGATATAAAGTTGTTCCAAAAAAATGCGAAGAAGTACAAAGGAGTTAGACAACGGAGATGGGGCAAATGGGCAGCAGAGATCCGAGACACAAAAAACAAAACTCGACTTTGGCTAGGCACTTTTGACACTGCTGAAGAAGCTGCTTTGGCTTATGATAAGGCAGCCATTGAAATAAGAGGTACTAAAACTTTCTTAGAGTGAGCAGTTTTGTTTCTGTTTGTTTATTTCCTTTTTATTTGAATTTCCTTCTAAATATTTCTGAATAGACGGTACGGTCACCTCATATTGATAAAAGTTCATTTAACAACAATACATAAAACTAAAGAAAGAATTTCTAATCATATATGAAGTGTATGCATGTCCGGTCTGATGGACTTTTCCTTGCTTTGTCCTTTTTTTTGCATGAAGCAATGGCCTCCAAGAAAGAGCTTCAGGTAAAAGAGGGAGTCAAAGAACCCTCAGCAATTGACGTAGTTGAAAAATCCATCAATCAAGTGGGCGAAATTTCCCAAGTCTTTCCGCATCTTGTACGTATTCACGTGCCGGACCATGACACAACGGACTCGTCTAGTGACGAGGAGGAGAAGGATGAAGAAGAGAAGTCCGAGACACATGAAAGGACGTGTGTAAAGGAAATCATCATCGAGAATGGAAAGACCAAGGTCATTTCAAAGAAGAAGTCCAAAGAGAAGAAAGATTTAAATCTGATGCAAGAAGATGTGAATAAGTACAGGGGAGTTAGACGGCGAAAATGGGGCAAGTGGGCAGCAGAGATTCGAGATACAAGAAAGAAAACTCGGCTTTGGTTGGGAACTTTTGACACTGCTTTAGAAGCTGCTTTGGCTTATGACAAGGCAGCCATTGAAATAAGAGGTGCTAATGCTTTGACAAACATCCTCAAGCCACCAGCGAAGAAAAACAACCCCATCAAGATCAACTTCATCGTGCCACCACTAAAAAGACAGAAGGCGGATCCATAGGTTAGTTAAACTTGATTGGTTCAACCTTCTATAGGCGGATCCATTGCACCTTTGAAATTATGAGGTTCAAAAGTTAATACCTGTTGAACTTTTAGTAGTTTTTCACATATACATCTATGTACCATGTGAAGAATTCTAGGTTCATTTGAACCCGTTAACGGTTAAACTAAAGCTGCATCCGCTTCTGAAGGGGGAGATCTACTTGTTTTAGCCACCATCTTTACCCACAGATGATGCCAGGGATTTGAAACTGCTTTACTATTTTGGTGTACATTATCATTAGTGTTAAACTTGGTTAGTTCCCAACTTACTGGGATGTTCTTAAAGCATGTACAGTGGTATTTTAATGCTTTACTGCATGTTTTTGATATAGAGGAAACTGTTGCTTCCTTTTGTTGACTGGGCTTATACTTCCAGTTTCTCTTTTTTTTTTACCGTTCATTTCGATACTTGAACGTTGTTACTGCATCAAGGGAAACAGTAACCTAGTTATACATATCGATAATAAAAGTCATGCATGAAACGCGTAACGAGTAGCATGTATGACATGAGAAATGTGATAGTTACGTGATCATATGTGAAATTTACTCCGTATTGATACTACAATTGCCTTACATAGGAAAATAATTATGATAAGAGAAGTTTGATAAAATTTGGTAACAAAATCTAAGTTGCAAGTGCTATTTAGTAATGGAAAAAGGCTTAAATATGCCATTGCATTTTAAGAGACGACTTATTTATGCCATCCGTTAAAAGTTTGACTCATTTATGTTATTTCCGTTTGAGAAAAGGCTCATTCATGTCATTATTTGTTAACTGAAATGCCATAGATGATCCAAACTATTAACGGATGCATAGATGAACCTTTTCTCAAAGTTCAGTGGCATATTTTAGCCTTTGTTCATTTAAAAAATAATTTAATTAATGATGTGACTAAATCATAATTGACCATGTGTAAAAAATGGTTTTGCGAGATTGAAACTGTTTTCCCTTAATAAATAATGACATGAATGAGCATTTTCTCAAATGAAAATGACATAGATGAGCCAAACTTTTAACGAATGACATAGATGAGTCTTTTTTAAAAGTTCAATGACATATTTGTGACTATTTAATGAATTATTAATGTTGATTTCTTTTTTTTAGTCCACCTATATGATAATCGATAAGAATGACAAGTGATAAAATAAAAATAAATTGAAGTATAAAAGTTTAATTATTTGCATTTTAATTTCTTATCATTTCTATATTGCGATGATTGATAAAGTTTGAATTATATAAATGACCATCAAAAGGCAAAAGATTTAAAGACAAGACAAAAGATCAAAACTACTGATTTGTCTGAGAGCTTTCGCGCGAGTTTCTTTTCAAGGTATGCTCAAATCTGAGTTTCTTTAACTTTTATGGATCACCAGTTATATTTTTGAAGTTATCTATGTGTGACATGTGAATTTTTGTGGCAGAGATATACTTTTCACTTTTACACATAAGAGATCAGAAAATGATATTTTTTAAAATTCAAATTGTAAGTAGACAAAGAGATTTCATTTCCTTGTTTCTCTGTGTGCTTCTACAAACACATTTTAAAACTTATATATGTGTAGATTTTACTGCTTTAGTTTTTTTTTTTTTGAAGATTTTATTGATTGAACTATACAAAATTCATTGATGGATTTATGACATCCTTATCGTGTGAAAAGTTTTCTATTTGAAATTCTAGAGAAATAACTTAACAAAAGAAAAATCTAGGATTTTAAGTGAGTTTGAGAGAAATGATTTTCTAGTTCTTTAAACGACGAATATATAATTTAAGTCGGTGAGTGTAAACATTTGAATATTGAGATCTCTCACCCTAGTATAATTTGAATAGAAGAAAATGACCATTTTAAATCTCTTATGTTTAAAAATGAAGATCTCTTGTGTGTACGGACAAAAATTTCTTGTAAAGCCATAAAACTAAACTAAAAAAAATCATTTTTAATGCTATTGTTTAAGACTACAAGATTTAAAAGTCTTCTATATTTTCTTAAATTTTGTTTCAAATCAAAATTAGAATAAACAAATGAAAGAATTTTCTATCATAAATGAAGTGTATGCATGTCTGTCTGATGGACATTTTGTGCTTTTTTTTGGCCAAACACATATGCAGACCCTTAAACTTGTTCCTAAATTTCATTTTGGCACTCCAACTCAACCTTGTTCCATTTTAACCCTTCAACTCCAATTTTTATGTTCCATTTTGGCACGTCTTTCCAAAGAATCAACAATGTGGGATGTGTGTACTTCACATGCCATTATTGTGTTAAAAAATAATGGATGAACATCATTTTTTTTAAAAAATAATTTTTTTTTAGAGTTTATGTACATCATTGTGTGAAAAAATAATCGGTGAAAGTGTGTTGGTTTTTTTTTAAAAACAATTAGTTAATTTAAATAACATCACATATATTTTTTTTCATATCTAGTCTACTTGGAATAACTCAAATATCAGCTTTCTAATTTTTCATTCAACTAAATACGAGTAAAAAAAAACTCATGTTCATTGCTAATTAATAACACTACAAAAAAATGTTGAAACTCGATAGGCTTCGTTGGGTTGTCATTGATTTTTTTAAGAAAAAAAATCGACGCACTTTCGTCGGTTATTTTCACGCAAAATATAGGAAAACTCTTAAAGAGAAATTGTTACTTTTTTTATAAAAAAAAATGATAATCCGTCAGTTTTAATTTTTTACAATAATTAATAGATGATCGTCGATTTTTAAAATGCAAAATTGCAGTTGAATAACATATATAGAAATAAAGAAATCATAAAATTAGTATTTTGTGTTAAATGGTACATAAAAGAAATAGAGTTGAAGGGTAATCTTTTATTATTTTTTTTAAAAATACTTTTTTTTCGTCTTTCACTCTCTTAGAGAATGTGTGATGCACACTCTCTGCCACATCACTTAGAAGTGCCAAAATGGAACATAAAAATTAGAGTTGAAGGGTTAAAATGGAACAAGATTGAATTGGAGTGTCAAAATGAAATTTAGGGACAAGTTTAAGGGTCTGCATATGTGTTTGACCTTCTTTTTTTGTTCTCTTTTCATGAAGCTATGACCTCCAAAGACGAGCTTAAGAAAAATGAGGCAATTGAAAAATCCTCAGAAATTATCATAGTAAAAGAAATCCACCAAACAAGTGGGCAAAAGTTCTGTTGTCTTGCCGCATGTCGTACGTATTTACATGCTAGACAGTAACGCTATAGATTCGTCTAAAGAAAATCTTCAAGGAGAGAAGTCCAAGCGATATGAAAGGATATGTAAAGAAATCATCATTAAAAATGGAAAGACTAAGGTCTTTTCAAAGAGGATGCCTTCCGAAGAGAAGAAAGATACAAAACTACTCCCAAAAAAATGTAAAAAAGTACTAAGGAGTTGGACGGAGAGAATGGGGGAGGTGGGGAGCAAAGATTCAACATGGAAGAAAGAATGCTCGATGTGGTTGAGAATTTTTGACACTGCTATAGAAGCTGCTTTGGCTTATGGCAATATATCCATTGAAATAAGAGGTGCTAATGCTTTGACAAAATTCTCGAGCCACCATCAAAGGAATCAACCCTATCAAGATTGTGCCACCACTAAGGAAGACAAAAGACAGATTCATATTTTTGTTAAACTTGTTTGGTTCAACTGTTCATAGGTAGATTCATTGCGCTTTTGTAATTATGAGTTCAAAAATTAATATTTATTGATAATTTTTTAATAGTTGGAGGACATGACTGTAAATAAGAAGGTTTCATTAGGTAGGAGAGGCAGGGGGCTAGCCCCGTATCTTCTTCCTCTTATTAGTAGAAGTATTTAGTAATTACATATAATTTTTTTCATTCTTCAAGGTTGTTGTAAGATCTTTCAAGATACTGCTTTAAGTTTATGTAATGTAAGTACTACATGAACTGAGGGAGAAAAAAAAAAATACTAGGCTCAGTTTCTTGCTTTTACTCATTTGAATATGATTTAGCAAATTATTAATGTTAATTCCAAGTCTACATGTATGATAAGAAGGACAAGTGAAAAATGGAAATAAATTCAAGTACATAGAATTAATAATTTGTATTTTAATTTCTTACTGTTTTTATATATATATAAATGACCATCAAAATGTTAAAGATTTAAAGCCAAGACTATTTATTAAATTGTTAATGTTGATTCCTTTTTAATTAGTCCACATATATGATAAAAATGACAAGTGAAAATGAAAATAAATACAAATATAAAGAATTAATTATTTATATTTTAATTTCTTACTATTTATACATAGTGACGATTGCTAAAGTTTAAATTATATAAATGACCATCAAAGTGTAAGAAATTTAAAGACAAGTCTATTTAGTAAATTATTAATGTTGATTCCTTTTTTATTAGTCCACATATATGATAAGAATGACAAGTCAAGTACAAGATTTGATGATTTGTATTTTAATTTCTTTATCATTTCTATATAGTGACTACGGCTAAAGTTTAAATTATATAAATGATCATCAAAATGTAAAAGATTTAAAGGCAAGACTATTTAGTAAATTATTAATGTTGATTCATTTTTTATTAGTCCACATATATGATAAGAATGACAAGTGAAAATGAAAATAAATGCAAGTACAAAGAATTAATCATTTGTCTTTTAATTTCTTACCATTTCTATATAGTGATGATTGCAAAAGTATGAATTATATAAATGACAATCAAAATGTAAAAAATTTAAAGGCAAGACTATTTAGTAAATTATTAATGTTGATTCCTTTTTTGTTAGTCCACATATATGATACGAATGACAAGGGAAAATAAATTCAAATACAAATACAAAGAATTAACATTTGTATTTTAAATTCTTACCATTTCTATATATAGTGACGATTGCTAAAGTTTGAACTATATAAATGACAATGAAAATATAAAGATTTAAAGGCAAGACAAAAGATCAGAGAATTACTAATTTGTCTTAGAGCTTTTGAGTTTTATTTTCAAGGTATGTTCTATTCTTAGCTTCTTTATCTTTTCTGGACCATCAGTTACATTTTTAAAGTAATCTATGTATGACATGTGAATTTCTGTGGCGGAGATTTCTAGTCCTTTACATATATGTTTTCATATTTTACATATGTGCAGATTCTATTGCTTTAGGTTTGATTTTTTTTTCCTGAAGATTTCATCTTTTGAACTAATTGAAATTCATTGATGGATTTATGACATCCTTATTGTGTGAGAAATTTTCTATTTGAAACTCTAGAGAAATAACTTACAAAAGAAAAAAACTAGGATTTTAAGTAAGTTTGAGAGAAATG